CATAGGGTGTTTTAGAGTTTTTGCCGAATTCCCTCTGATTACGTAAATGTCTCTAAAAAGTTCGTTACTTGTAACAGGGTTTGGCAATAAATTAGCTTAATACCTTTCTCTATAGGGAAATAGATATACCAAAATAAAATGTTTTGCTTTAAAATAAATTTCAATGAATTTAGATTATATAGGGTGTCATGCCTTAGGGTATTGGTTGTTTTTGAATAAAAAAAAATGAAAATTAACGTACTCAGCTTGAAGATGAAACGTTTTATTGTTGGATATGCTTCGCAAGGTAGAAAATAAAATGTCGACCATTTTGTGCGTTTTTTTATCGACCCATACACATATTGTCGGTGGGTTGGGTTAAAAAGTCCATAATTAAAATACGTCGAGTAATTTAAAATTTTTAACCGGAGCACTATTTTAATTAAAGTCGCTTACATCCTTTAATTATTTTCGCGTCATTTTAGCAGAATGTATGTCACCATGTTGTTAAGAAAAATAATAAAAAGAAACGCGTTTTTTAATTCCTCTTTAGCGCTGCCATTACGCGAGCAGAACTTCATTTACTTTCAAATCGGATTGTTTGTTATAGAATCCCTTTCTATCCGGTGCGAATGTTTTTTATTATGCAAGTGGCTCGACGATTTTGAGGCCTGATAATGTAGCCGTTAGTTGCCAGACAGCCAGTCTTTCCAGTTAAAGACAAATCCAAACTTAATTGAACAAATCTTCTCCTTGCTTCTCTTTCTCCAAAAGAACAAAAACCCTTCAACTGTGCATAAAGAATAACCAGTGTTGCCGTATTTGCGGAAATGTTGGGCGGCGAAACAGTATGTTTCCAGTGTGCTTCCACACCGCATGGCTGCCCGGCACTGAGGAGGTTCAAAAGACCGTTACAGGCTTCCTGTCGGATGTTGTTAGTGGAGGTTAAACAAAGCGCCTTGACAAGGTAAATTAGTCCTCGCTTCTAAATGGAATTTCATGGCTGTAAACTAAGAATTTAAAAAAAATTAATTCCACTTAATTTTCTAAATTCCATTACTAATTTTAATTTTTTAAAAGAAAACTTACTTATTTTGCGTTTTATTAAATTAAAAAATTTCAAACGTTCGTTCTATACTAAACAATTATATAGTAAATTATAGTGAGTGAATGCTTAATTAAGAATTGTTCGAGAAAAGCGTGTGAATTATTTAACAGAACCACTTTAAGGAAAATTTCCAAGGTGTTAAACTAAAACCATTAGACATGAGCAACTTTAGTATGTGGTTTAACTGGGGTTGTCATAATTTTACTAAAACCCTTAGCGATTACTACAGGGGTACAATGGACTTAAAAGAAAATACTAAATACCATGTATTACTTAGATTATTCTCTCTGTCCCCTATTATCCTTTATATCCTTAATAAACTTAATTATTTTATTATTTCAATATTTAATTAACAAAAAAGAATTATTTTTAAATAAATAATTAAAATTAACCTTACTGTATAAATGGCATTATTATTTTAATGTTTATCACAACCAATTTACCAAAACAAATTTAATTATCTCTTAGACAGTTAATAAAGTTCTTTTAATTGGATTTGTAGTTTCGAAAAGATTTGTTAATCAATTAAAGCTGCCCTTTGAAAGGTTTTGGGTTAAAAAAAAAACGTTTAATTTGATTTCGGGAAATAGATTTATTGTTATGGCAAAACAATTACTTAAGGGGTACTATGCAGGTAAAAAACAACTAACATACAGGATGTGACAAATACTGTCATAATAAAAAAAAAAATTTTCTACACCCACCTTTAAAACGCCCTTTATCGTACATGTTTCCATGACACTAAGTGACCTTTTAAATACACATTGACAAGTTGTGGCTTTATGGCGCTTTAGTCACGGGCTGAAGTCAGCAACAGGTTTTTAGTCACGGGCTGAAGTTAGTTTTAAGTTAGTTGACAGTTGTCAAATGTCATACAATCGTTAAAATAAAGTGCCTTTCTTTTAAAATAATACTATAGTATTATTTTAAAAGAAAGGCGTTGAGATACTATTTAATACTTTTGTATTTTTGTATTGAGATAATAAAATAATTTTCACATTTATAAATGTGAAAATTATTTTATTATCTCAATACAAAAATACAAAAGTATTAAATAGTATCTCAACGCCAATATTTGAAAAGTTTATATGAACATTGTACTGACCTTTTAATTTCGCCGGCAGTAAACTATAACTTAAATTCGGGCACGGACTCCACTGTAAAGTCCTCATAAAACATTTTCTTTACTTTCACTGTGAAAAACTGACAATTTTCAAGAAATACATTTCGATTTATAACCTTTAAAATCTGTGTTTATAAAATTTAAAAATGTGACATTTGACGGTGACACACAGATTCCCCTATTGTTTCATAGATGGCGCTCTATACAAATTTTTGATTTAAATCAATTTAAGATAATAATAAGTATTTGTCGTAGAAAAAGTATAGTATGCACCTCGTTTATAAACTTTTCTATACACTTAATAATTTAAGAACTCGCTCGCAAGCTCGCTCGTGCCTAAATTAAATTCGTATATAAAATGGCGTTTATCAAACTTGATACATAATATACTATTGTTTCCTAAAAGTTGCAAAAATGGCGGAGGTTCCGGGAGTAAAACAATACATTTCACTTTTATTTAAAACTGGTTTAAAGACTTTTGGAGCAAAATAATTAGATTGAATTAGAAATAAAACTTTCAGGGCATTAAACAGATGCAATCGTTTTAAAGTGATTGTTTTAATCTACGACTTAGTTTGTTTACATTTAAGTAGTTGTCACTAATCAAATAAAAACTAATTTTCAATGGAATTTTCAAATAATCAAATGCATGTAAATTTTTGATAAATGCCAGTATTACTTTCAAAACTTTTGCTTATTTGACCTACATTCAACCTACAGTGGTGATTCTAGTGGCCATCCTTATATCCTATATATGAAAACTTAGAGTACCAAACAACATTTACATATAAAATAGACAACATTCATGCGATGTCTCGTACACATAACTTGCATATATTCAACAACTTCTCCAAAGAAAAATATATGGCTCAAATATTAATATTATATTTTCGCGATTCTTTTTTAAAATATTAGCCATATCCTGAATATTTTCATGCCACTGAGAAAAATGTAGGAATGTGAGAAACTTTATACAGGGCTTTCCATTTAAAAACACAAGTCTACAAAACACCACCTGAGTACATTTATATGCAACTAATAGGCCTTCAAGATCTCCGGACTTAGTACAACTGGACTAGTTGGTTGAAAAATAAGACACAAATCCTAAAATTATAAATTATTGTTGCAATGTTTTAGTTTTGAGTAGACAAATACGTATTAGGGAAAATAATATGTGATCAGTATCAATTGAACGTTGCATGGCACTAATTTATAATAAATTGATAAATTACATATTTATCATTATGCGCTTCCGTTCCCAGTAAAAAATCGAATGCTTGTGTGAATTTGTTGCAAAAAAAAAAGTGCCTCGATACAGAAAATACTTTCTTTTAGTGGGTATAATTTCATTAACAGTAGCCCTTAACCCTTTCAATACGACTTTTCGGAAATTAATTTAAAACTTTTTTATTAGTGTTAAAACTATATTTAGGTTAAAAATAGTTAATTGACTGAATAACAGATTTTTAACTTTGGTGGTATTTGAAAAAAAGGCCTGGGACAGATTTATCCCTGCAGTAATATGCCCTGGGATATATTTATCCCCACACTAAAGAAATTCTACTATTTTTGAAAATGTTTATTATCAAAAAACACTGATGGGATAAAACTATCCCCTGTCATATTACTGCAGGGATATTTTTGTCCCAACGTATATTTTGAGGAATGAGTTGTGACGTACAATGCACATAAAGTATTCCAAAAATTCAAGCAAAATTTACACAAAAACTGCACAAAATAGGTTATGTGACTGGTCTTTTTCAATTTAGAGCGTGCAATGGCCGAAAAACAGCTGGTTATTGTTCACGTGACGTTAAATAAATTAAGTTTTTATTACTGATATCCCAAGTCAAGACATAGAAATACTAAATTGTCCCGACCCTGTTTTATTTAAACGCACTTAATTAAGTAGAGACATTTTTTAATTTTCTTTGGGACGTATATATCCCCGCAGTATTGAAAGGGTTAACTCAATAAAAGGTTGCCAGTAGAAAAGAGAGCAAAATTTAATAAAAGGAAAAATACGACGTTTACTATAAATACATTAGGGTGTCCGTTGTTTGTTTTTTTTGCTTGGGTATCTCCTAAATTATTTGTTTAGAGACTAAAATCAGTTAAAAAATATTTTGAATAAATAGTTCAAATCTTATGTCAAACGTCATTTTTGCATGTTTTTTGCTTTTTTGTAGCAATTTTGTATATATTATATGCAGTCAATAATTATGCTATAAACTTGTGCTTATTAGGGATTATACACGTGCATTTTTGCGGTTAAAAATCATAGCAACATTAGTGAATCTACCGGACGTGTTGAAAAACGGTGCAAAATCCAAACCAATGATCGATCAATACGTTATCATTGTTGACCTGCGATTGGTTGATAATTGAATATGTCACCACTTGTTGTTAATTAGTGTATATCTCTCTGTTCCCTGAAGTGCATATAATTTACATCGGCTGCTCATACACAAAATTATTTTTACAAATTAACTATTCGTGCCTATAACTTCTATCGATCATTACACTGCATTTTCTGGGTAAGCTTTATTTTTATATATATGTATGTTTATAAAAAAGTGTGAAGTGGCAGATTGAGAAATGATTTGCTCCACAAGAAATTGAGCAGTAATCCTTTATTATTTATATCGAAATTTTTCTTATTAAAGCAAAAAACGTTGTGAAATGATTAAACTTGCTGTTCATAACTAAAACAAAATGTGGAATTTATTAAACAAATTCCATTCCAGTTAGATGGGTAATAGTTATTGGTTACTTACAGGGGGAGTCAATATTTAATTATTTAAATTTTTTTAGCAAAATGGCGGTGGAACGTCTCTCCGACATCGATAACATCCTATCGATCGTGGGCGATTTTGGCCGATCTCAAATCATACTTCTGCTATTATTTTGCTACATAAACGTTTTGTCGGCATTTCACTATTTCGGCCAGACCATCATCAGCGTGATACCCTCTTATAAATGCAACTACGATGGTGCGTTGAAAAACGATAGCTACCTGATCGTCGTCGAACAATGCAAAGCTCTCGTGTGGGAAAACGATGAGGCCGTGGAAAAAAATTGCGATGCCTATACGTACGACACCAAGAATATCATGGGATTCACCGGAATCATACAGGATGTAAGTGTTGGTTTTGTTTTGTTTTGCTTTTCCGTCCACCATATTTTCCAGATTTAATGTCTAGTGACTAAGGACCGTATGCAGAAACGTTGATTAATTTATATCAACTAATTTACCCATATTCATGTAACTTGTCTAGAATTACCCCTTGATATGTAAATTGACGTGTTTCGACAAATTTTCATAGTGTCATCAGTTAAAGAACTAAGTGCTGTTCGTTTTAAAATTGTCACCCTGTATGTGGTTATTAATCATCATAATAGTATTTTTTTATTATCTTGGTACCTATTCTATTAAAAAGTAAACATTAATGGAAGGTATGTGTGTTTCTAATAATAATAAAATGTGGGTATCAATAAATTCTTTACAATGGAATTAAATAAACTAATAATTCAATTGATTTCAAGAATTCAACTTTTTGGTCAGACAAAACGTACCTAATAGTAATTTTATGTTTTAAAAATGTTTGTCTTTAATTATATCTTTGTTATAGGTTTGTTTACCTTCTCATAAATATTTACAAACAAAAGTGCTGTATTTTTATCCATATTTTAAATCAGTCGTTAACGACTGATATAAATTATATTAACCGATTTACATTTTAAATGATTTTATTGACCATTTCTAGTGTTAAAAGCAAATGTCACAAATGTGAAATATATCTTGATGAAATTTTAATTGTTTAATTCAAAACGTTAATGTTTTTAGGGGTAATAAAAACGTTTTAAGGATAAGTTCCCAATTTATTTTATAAAATAACAGTTTTTAAAGAAAATTATATATTTATATATTTATATATTTATATATTTATATATTTATATATTTATATATTTATATATTTATATATTTATATATTTATATATTTATATATTTATATATTTATATATTTATATATTTATATATTTATATATTTATATATTTATATATATATATATTTATATATTTATATATTTATATATTTATATATTTATATATTTATATATTTATATATGTATTCATATATATATACTGCGTTGCCATGTCGTGCAAAAACCTAAATCAGTTGATATAAATAAATCAACGTTTCTGGGTACGTTAAATTTTCTTATATATCTCATTATCTTATATATCTTAAGTTGGACAAAAAGTGCTATTTAAATGATGTTTAAGAATAAAATTAAATGAACGATATATTTATCTTATATCCGCTTTGGTTATTTATAGCGGAACGTATATGATAAATAAGATACTTAATTGCTATATACACTCGAGAGAACGCACACTACTTAAGGGTGGTTTAAGAGGTTACTAAATCACTGACTCAGCAGATCTTTGTCGGGTACAATTAGGGAAGCGAATTTTCCCTTATACAGGGGTTTTTAAGTTGCATTTTGATGATTAAATTAATTAAACTCTTGTTTGTTGTGCATCGACAAGATTAAACAGACAATGCACTTTATTTAGTAATATTATCAATGGCATAATTTATTTTAATTAATTTAATTTATTTATTGTGACAAAAATTGAAATGCTAGCTTATTTGCTTCAAATCTTTTAACTTGGAGCATTTCTCTTTCCACCCAGCCACTGTCGACTTTAATTTTTGAATTTCAATTTCAAATTCCTCCTTTCTGTCTTCCACATCTTTCTTGATCTGGGAAATTTTTAAATACAACATTTTCCTATCTTTCCTTAACTTATCGATAATAATTTCCTTGGTTTTTAGGTCGCTTTGATGTTGCTTCAATAGTAATTTATATTTTCCTAATAGATCAGTGTTTTTCGGAAAATTGTTCAAGTCGTGGGATTGTTTGATTTCCAAATTTTTTGCTGTTTCTTGTAATTGATTTTTTATCCTGTGACAATCTTTCATTTCTTTGAATAAGGTTTCTCTGTAATATTCTGCCCTTAAATGTTTCTATTTTTAATACATACATACATACATATTTATATTTCATACTTACATTTCTTTGTACAATATCACATTTTCAGAGAAATCATTTTCTTTCTCTAATAACATTTTTTTAAATTGATTTTTCTCCTCGCTGTATCTTTTCGATTTATATTCAAATTTTTCCAAAGCTTTTTTAATTTCATCGCAAACATCTTCATTTTGGTCGACCTTTAATATGAATATGAAAATTTCAAATTTTCTTGTTAATTACCAAATATTATTATTATTGGCGACAATTCGGTATTTATTGTAAAATAGACCGATTTAAAAAAAAATCAATCAATTTTTTTACAATTGTATTTTTTTCCAGATTTGACCATCTTAAGATCTTAAGATTGTCAAATTTGGGAAAAAAAATATTTTTTTACCCACCGAATTTTCTCCAATCCAAATGAAACACACTGTATATATACAGGGTGTTTCAAATTCATGGTCCATTTTTAGTTTCTGGGGAATGAAAAAAGATATTGATTTGAAATTTTAAAAGCGTTTATAATATATTTAAATCTAGTTTTCTAAAATATTCTAAACATAATGCTACTTCCGGTTTAACCGGAAGTGATATCAACTTTCTTATTTCAAATGGAACACCCCATATATTTTACATTTTTTAATTCTTCTGAGTAATATGGGGTGTTCCATTTGAAATAACAAAGTTGATATCACTTCCGGTTAACCCGGAAGTGGCATTTTGTTCAAAATATTTTAGAAAAATAGACTTAAATGGATTATAAACGCTCTTCAAATTTCATGTCGATATCTTTTTTCGTTCACACAGAAACTTCTAATGAAACACCCTGTATATATACATATATTATTAGTATTATAAATCAATCTTTACAAACCTTTATTAGTAACTGTTCAAAGTAATTAGCGGTTATTGAAGCATCATTTATGTTTATTATATTGTTTCTGTCAATCAAACGTTTCTGAAGATTTGTTATTATTTCTTCCTGTTTGTGTACTTTTTCCAGTAGTATTATATTTTTTTTACTCAATTCGTTGTACCTTAAAATAATTGCTGTATTTAGTACAATTTTAGAATATTTTTTTCTTCCGATCCGATGTCGTTATTTATACTATAGAAATTCACAAAAGTTGTAAAATTTAAAAAAAATTCATACCATTTTGCTCTTTTTTCATCTATTACCAAATATAATTCACAATGACCACAAAGTTTTCCATTCATTGCTTAAATTTAATTTTCAAACGTTCAAAACAAACAAACACCCGCGTAACCAGGCAACCAATTTGAATTAATTTGAAAGTTAACTACCTAATTTTATTGTTCGCAATTTATATAATTCCCTATAAAGTTATAATGACTTGTAATAAAATAATTTTTGTAATTTGTATAATATGAAATTATATTTAAATGTTTTAATCGACATATATTATACAGCACCACCTGCGTGTTGGTAGGAGAACTAACAACTATTATTGGTAGAAAACATTGTTAACATACGCACCTATAATGTACCTTATAGTTTATTTAAATCAGGAATATACAGGGTGATCTTTTTTTTTTTAGATGGACTGGGTGTGTAACAATGACTGGAAGGCACCAGTGGGTCAATCCCTATTCTTCATTGGTTCCGTACTGGGTACGTTAATTTTTGGATATTTTTCGGATAAAACTGGACGCGTCGTGGTTTTAATTTTTGCCAATATGTTGGTTGTATTGGGCACTTTAGTAACTTTGGCATCCAATAATCTTCTGATTTTTTCCGCCGGAAGATTTTTGGCAGGAGCTGCGACAGACACAAATTTCGTGATGATGTATATTATTGGTAAGAACATTTGACATGCTGATGACATATTTAAAAACTACAAGGTTAAAAAATAATCCAAAATTCATACAAACTTAAATAACGACAAAAAAATGACATGGTTAATTATCGACCATCTAAAACGCTGTCAAGATAAAAGGACGACAAGATAATCCTACAAGCTTAAATTACATGGTTAAATATCGAAAAGCTAAATAAGGTTTAATAAAGATAAGCTCAAATGCATTTGACAAGCACAAGCGTAAATAATATAAAGTTAAAATTCTATTTAAAATATTAAGCTTAAAGGTTAAATAACGACAAGATAAATGCTGACAAGCTTTAAAAACATCAAGCTAAAACACCAACAAACTTAAATAATGACAAGATAATCTTACAAGCTTAAATGACATGGTTAAATATGGAAAAGCTAAAATTCTGACAAGATAAAATGACAACAAGCTTTAAAAACCTCAAGCTAAAATGCTGTTAAGATGAAATAACGACAAACTTAAATAATGACAAAATAATCCTACCAGCCTTAATGACATGGTTAAATATAGACATGCTTTAAAAAAATCAAGCTAAAATACCAACAAATTTAAATAATGACAAGATAATCCTACAAGCTAAAATGCTGTCAAGATAAAATGACGGCAAGATAATTCTACAAGCTTAAATGACATGGTTAAATATCGACAAGCTAATATGCTGACAAGATAAAATAACGACAAGCTTTAAAAACATCAAGCTGAAATGCTGTCAAGATAAAATGACGACAAGCTTTAAAAACATCAAGCTAAAATACCAACAAACTTAAATATTGACAAGATAATCCTACAAGCTTAAATGACATGGTTAAATATAGACAAGCTAAATTCTGACAAGATAAAATGACGACAAGCTTTAAAAACATCAAGATAAAATGGCGACAAGCTTTAAAAACATCAAGCTAAAATACCAACAAATTTATATAATGACAAGATAATCCTACAAGCTAAAATGCTGTCAAGATAAAATAACGACAAGATAATTCTACAAGCTTAAATGACATGGTAAAATATCGACAAGCTAATATGCTAAAAAAATAAAATAACGACAAGTTTTAAAAACATCAAGCTAAAATGATGTCAAGATAATATGACGACAAGCTTTAAAAACATCAAGCTAAAATACCAACAAACTTAAATATTGACAAGATAATCCTACAAGCTTAAATGACATGGTTAAATATGGACAAGCTAAATTTTGACAAGATAAAATGACGACAAGCTTTAAAAACAGCAAGCTAATATGCTGTCAAGATAAAATGAGGACAAGCTTTAAAAACATCAAGCTAAAATACCAACAAACTTTAATAATGAAAAGATAATCCTACAAGCCTAAATGACATGGTTAAACATGGACAAGCTTAAATTCTGACAAGATAAAATGACGACAAGCTTTAAAAACATCAAGATAAAATGCTGACAAGATAAAATTGCGACAAGCTAAAATACCAACAAACTTAAATATTGACAAGATAATCCTACAACCTAAAATGACATTGTTAAATATCGACAAGCTAAAACGCTGTCAAGATAAAATGACGACAAGCTTAAATGACGACAATTATGGTGAAAAGTTTTATTTTTAATTTTTTTTATATAGTTTTAGAATATATTAGGCCATCGTTACGAACACTAGGTTTGAACTTATGCATAGGTATTTTTTATACCCTGGCTTGCATGTGTGTACCTTGGATAGCAGTGGCATTGAAGTCATGGAAATTATTTTTGATTTTCGTGGCAACCCCACACATGTTGGTGTTATTATTTTACTACGTAGTGCCAGAAAGTGCGCAATGGTTAATGAGCAAGGGAAAAATTGAAAAAGCCATCGAGTGCTACAAAAGAATAGCCAAAAGTAATGGGAAAACTTTAAGTGACGACGTCATATCTTCGATAAAAAGTTATGGAAGTAATATGCCTAGAAATCAGAAGCAGGAGAATTTTCTCGGACTGCTAAGGACTCCAAATTTAAGGAGGAAAACGTTAATACTTATTTTTAAGTCGTAAGTTGCCAACCCATACAGCACAAGATGTCCATTGGACGTCAAATGGACTTACATTGGATGTTTGGATGTACAATGGTCGTCCATTTGACGTCCAATGGACATCTTGTGCTGTATGGGTAATAATTTTAACTTTTTAGCATGGTGATGACATTATGCTATGATACAATCTCAAGGAACATAAATGGTCTTGGTTACTCCCCCTTCATTATATTTTCGATGAGTTCCTCGACGATTTTACCATCGTGCCTTCTGATAACTTCGATACAAGACAAAATCGGCAGGAAGGCTTTAGCAAGCGGGTTTCTATTTATCAGCGCCATTTGCACATCGGCCTCCGGTTTAGTTCAAAGTTTGACGGCGAAGCCCGGGGCCCCTTTGATTTTGGTTCTGGCCATACTGGCCAGATTGTCGATAAATATAACGTACAACTCCGGGGCTCAGTACGCGGTGGAACTTATACCAACCGTCGTCAGAGGTCAGGGTGTTTCCTTCGTTCACGTAGCCGGCTACGCGGCTACGTTCTTCAGTCCGCATATTTTGTACATGGCCGAGTTCTGGAAACCCGCCCCCGAGATCATTTTGGCCGTGCTGCTTGTTTGCGGCGCCATTGCTTGTTTATTCTTGCCCGAAACTTTGAACAGAACTCTGCCTGTTTCGCTGGACGATGGAGAGAAATTCGGGGAAGATGAGCAGTTCTTCGATTTTATATTTTGCGGGGGGTCGATTACTGAAAGCACCATCCAGTTAAACCCAGGGGGCCAACTAAACTCGTACATGTAGATTTTGTAACTAAATATATTATAACTAGACAGGGTTCTAATCTAATATACCAAAGAGTAGTGAATCATCAGTATTATTTTAATTTGTATAAAATATTGGGATTAAATGATATTTATTTAAATATGTTATTTGTTTATATGTTTCATTGTTTTATTTCCTTATCTACTCCAAATCCAAATAAAATGACGTTTTAATTTTATGTAAACTGGGTTGCATATCAGTCATGGCTTCTTTCGTTCATTTGAACTACTCTAACCGGGACGTCATTAATTTTTATTGTTATTGTGGGGGTTGGCAGTACTGCGTGTCATTTTGAGGTATATGGGAGGAAATGATGTTTAATCTTTAATATTTAATTTGTTATGTTATATGAAGAAGATTTACAGTGTTTTAATAGTTTAGAATTGTTAAGAAAATGCATTTTTCCATACCGGATACTCAAGAATTAAACGAAGGAAATGGGTCAACTTTTATTGTATGTTTACATTGTCTATTTTTATGTAAATATTATCGTGTTTTTTTCCTACTGTTTTAGGGTTACAATGTACATATAAACGGTGTGTTTCATTGTACTGTGAGGTACAAGCAGTTGCACAATTTAAATGAACAGCTTAAAAAGGAGTTTGGATGTGAGTTGGTTCCACCTTTCCCTCCCAAAAAATTATTACCTCTCACTGGCAACCAACTGGAAGAAAGAAGATGTTTACTGGAAAAATACATACAATTAGGTAAATATCTTTTAATTATTCTTTAAAAAATTGTTGAAAATATTCAGTTGCACTTTATACAGGGTGTTTCAAAAGTAATTTGGGTCCAAATTCTATCTATCAAAAGTCCCTATAATCCTATGAGCTACATTGACAAGCTTAACATAATGACAAAATTATACTACAAGCTAAAATACCACCTTAGAAAAATGACAAAAAGTTAAAATCTTACGAGCTACATTGACAAGCTTAATAATGACAAGATTATACTACAAGCTTAAATAATCTAAATGACAAGTTTTAAAATGACTAACTAAAATGCTGTCAAGATAAAATGATGACAAGCTTAAATAACAAAAAGCTTAAATATTGAAAAGATAATATGACAAGCTGACAAACTGACAAAAAGTTAAAATAAACAGCTTAAAAACAAAAAAAATTAAAATCCTACAAGCCAAAATAACAAGTTTAAACGACGGCTAGCTTAAGCTTAATTAAATGACAAAAAGTTAAAATGAAAAGTTTAAACACAACATAGTTAAATAACAAGCTTAAATATTGACAAAATAATACTACTTGCAGTTTTATTTTGACCTTGTTCGTGTACGCATCGTTAAAAAAATAAAACTAAATTTAGTCGTGAAACTTAAACTCAAACAGTGTAAGGTGTCACATAATGGAAGTGGATGATGAAAATGCAGAGGGAGAATTTACCATACCGGCCTATAATAAGAAAAAACGAAAAAAAAATAACGACTCAGATACCACTGAATACACAGAAAACGAGATCGCCGAAATTATAGGAGTAAACAAAAACAAAAAGTATACAAAAACAACAAGTGATAAAAACGCTCGTACAAAAAACCAAGCATACCACACACAATCAGATTCAAACACAAGTTATAAAGCTACTCATACACGTCAAACAGCAGAAACAAACAACAATCCTACAACAAGTAACTCATCACTTTCACCGAAAATGCAAGCTATATTTAGAAAAACCTATGAAAACGTTTTCTATATAACTGCTCCAGATGAACTAACAAGAATCCAACTGGCGGACAAATGGGCAACCTACTTTAAAAACTCAAAGGAAATAATCTTAAAAACACAAAAAGGATTTATTATCAAATCAAACAATAACAAACAAATCACCTTAGCTACCCTTAAAATATTGAAAGATTGTGGTTTTATTAACACATACGAATTATCCAATAATACCCCACAACAAACAACTTCAAAAAAAATACATAACCAATCCTTCTCGGCAGTGATATCGAATGTTGACATAGATATTGAAGAAAAAGAAATAAGTGTTGTTTTAAAAGATAACGGAATCGAACACAGGTATTGTAAAAGAATAATCTCTAAAAAAACAAACAAACCCTCCTTATACATAAGAATAATTACAGGAGAGATTAAAGCATATGAAAAGATAATTAACGAAGGGATTTACTACAAATTTCGTTACTATCCAGCATACCCAAGTCATCCTCCTGAACCGCTACCAATACCATGTGCAAAGTGTTCCCAATTTTCCCATACAACTGAAAATTGTAACACAGAGGCAAAATGCTCGAAATGCGCCGGAAATCATAAAGATAGGGAATGCAAAACCAATTTACCCCCATCATGTACAGCTTGTAGGTCTACAGAGCATGTTGCTTGGTCAATTAAATGTCCAAAACGCCCCATGAAACCTATTGAAGGTATTCCAAACATTAAAATTCGTTCCTTAAACAAAACTACAAGTGAAATAGACAAGAAAATTACAAAAAATCATAAAATTCATTCGGCGGTGACAATTCATGATTATATTATCAATACGTACATAAAAAAAATAAATAAACCAACAAATACAGACAGGCAAGAACTAATTTCTAGATTACAAAAACGTTTTATAGACGGTTTTAATATAAACACTGTGCCAACATTTGTGGGAAATCGCCTGTACATTTTGATGTTCGATTTAGATGAAGAAAACAGTCACTCCCCAACAGAACCCAATGATGGAATCCAAATTCATGTCAACAACAATTAAATTTATTTATTCAAACATCAACAGCTACATTACAAAAAAACATTTAATTAACCACTATATTGAACAAAATAATATTCAATGCAGCATGTTTGTAGAGACAAAAACAAACGAAGATCGTTCCATGCAATATAGGGATTGGACAACCATATATAAACATGGCAACATACTCAACAATAATACAAGAGGGGGTGCTTTGGTTCAAGGTGATCGCAGGCTTAAAATAGGTAAATCAAATCCTCCACACTTTAACAACCCCTACAATGATGTGTTACATTTTACTATTCCTTACAAAACCGACAAAATACACTTTTTTTTGGTTTACATGCACCATAGTAATAGATTAATAGAGGAAAATTTATTTACGAAAGCATCACAGTACAAATATGCAATTATCATAGGAGATTTTAATGTTACAAATAAAAGAAAAAAACAAATACAAAACTTTCTAAACAATTCAGATTTCACCCAAATCCACACCCCTCCTACTTTTATAATGCCCAATAATAGTGACACTACTCCAGACATTTTGCTCTGTACAAAAAACATCATTAACAATATCACAGAAGTAGAACTAATACCTGATTTAGGATCCGACCATCTTGCCATTCAATTTAACTTCGATATAGAAAAAAATTCACAAACCATTCCAGAAAACATCAAATACAATTTTAAAAAAAGTAATATAGAAGCTATAAATAATGAAATCATCCAGACAATGAACCTACAGGAGAATATTTCTCCTCAAACAATTGACTCCTTTCTAAAAAATATCACCAAAATTACTCTAAAACATACTCCTATTTTAAAAACAAGCTTCTTTGCACATACATTACCACCATTCATCATAAAACTAATTAAAATAAAGAAACAACTATATAGAGAGATAAAAATTAATTACGACCCTATACTTAAAAGAAAATACAACGAATTAAATAAAGATATACATACATTAATTCTACAATATAGGGCAGATAAATATCTAGAAGCATGCCAAAATATCAACGTAGCAAAGGGTCGGTCATACTGGGGTGAAATAAAGAAACTCTCTCGATATAAAAAATATAACCACATTCACTATATAAAAGAAGACAATAAAATCTTACAAACAGAGCAAGAAATTGCTGATGCCTTTGCAAGACAATTCGAAAAAAATTTTAAGTTTACGGAAAATGTAAGTTTTGATGGAAATTATAAAAATAATACACATAACTGGGTAAGAGATAACTTTACTCAAAGAAACTAAATGAAAATATAGAAAATGTAACTGAAGACGAATATTTCGAGAGTTTGAACGGGAAGAATACGGCACCAGGGCATGATCAAATTCCTAGAATGGTTTTAAAGCAATTTGACCAGGAAATCCATGACCAAATAATAAGAATTTATAACTTCTGCCTGCATAATAGTTATTTTCCGGAAGAATGGAAGAAAGGAAGAATAATTACCATTCCTAAACCGAACTTGGATCACATGTGATCCAAGTTCGGTTTAGGAATGGTAATTATTCTTCCTTTCTTCCATTCTTCCGGAAAATAACTATTATGCAGGCAGAAGTTATAAATTCTTATTATTTGGTCATGGATTTCCTGGTCAAATTGCTTTAAAACCATTCTAGGAATTTGATCATGCCCTGGTGCCGTATTCTTCCCGTTCAAACTCTCGAAATATTCGTCTTCAGTTACATTTTCTATATTTTCATTTAGTTTCTTTGAGTAAAGTTATCTCTTACCCAGTTATGTGTATTATTTTTATAATTTCCATCAAAACTTACATTTTCCGTAAACTTAAAATTTTTTTCGAATTGTCTTGCAAAGGCATCAGCAATTTCTTGCTCTGTTTGTAAGATTTTATTGTCTTCTTTTATATAGTGAATGTGGTTATATTTTTTAGTGCACTGTCCCAGGCAACTACCGGCCCATCACCTTATTGCCAGTTGTCGGAAAAACTTTTGAAAAAATAATCAAAAATAGATTAGAACAGGCCATTGGACATAAAATCCCAATATACCAATTTGGATTCAAGAGACAAACTTCCACTACTCACCCACTAATTGTCTTAACATCAAATGTACAACAGAAGAGTATAGAGGGAAATAAATCAACTGCGCTGTTTATGGATATTTGTAAAGCCTTCGATTCCGTATGGCACGATGGGTTGCTGAAAAAATTGGTGAAATTGGAAAGCCCGAATTATTTGGTATGGATAATAAAAGAATTTCTCACACAAAGGAAAATACAAGTAAAAATTGGCAATACACTATCCCCCACCTTTTCACCAGAACAAGGAGTGCCACAAGGCTCACCATTATCACCGTTCTTGTATAATTTATTTTGTTATGACATGTACAATTTGGACCACTTAAACATAAACAGACAGAGCTATATTCTCCAATATGCTGACGACACAGTTTTGATAACGCATGGAAAAACGACAACTGAAGCAACGGTGAAACTACAAGAACTAACCAATCAGGTATCGTCATGGATGTCTAAATGGAGAATCCTACCAAGTCCGTCAAAATCACGCCTACTACTGTTCCATCACAAAATAAAAGAAAATTCGCCCACAATAAATATTATGCAAAGTACAGTAGAACCATCAACATCATGTCGTTACCTGGGAATTTTGATAGACACCAAGTTAAACTTCAAACAACACACAAGCCACACCAAGACATGTATTATAAACAGGGCCAAGCACTTTAGAAGCTTAACTTATAAAGACCAGGGAATAAATATTGCTGTGGCAACCAACATTTATAAACTAATCTGTCGCCCAGTGCTGGAATATGGATCAGTTCTTTTTATAAATTGCAGAAAACCCACCCTAACAAACATAGAGATAGGCGAGCGCACAAGCATAAGGAAAATTACAAAAATCAGACATCCTCAAAATTCCTTATTTAACCCATCTAATGAAGCCCTTTACCTTATCACTGGAATACAACCCATACAAGAAAGATTGGAATACCTAGCGAAAAAATTTGCCAACAAACCCGAAAACCTTAATGTGATGGAACCTTTGATTCTTAAAACACAACTCGAGACAACACCAAGGAGAAAATACCCAGAGAAATCGTTGTATGACTCACTCAGGGAATTGACAGAAGAATAATGAAGATATTAACAATATATTTAATTATAACATTTTTTTTTTTTTTTTTTGTAAAGTACCTACAGAACATAAATTAAAATATAGTATTTGTAATATACAAAATTGTAATTGGGCAGGAAGACGAAAGTCGTTAGCCTTTTGGATTTCCAATAAAGTTTATTATTATTATTATTAATACTACTTGTTATTTAAACCTTGTCGTTTTTAAGCTTTTCATCATTTAAGGTGGTCATTATTTTATTTTGTAGTTATTTAAATATATCGTTTTTTAAGCTTGTTAATTTACCTTACAAGACTAAAAAAGACAAGGTTAAAATCCTACAAGCTTTATAATAACAACATAAAATGACGACAAGTTTGAAAACAAGCTTAAATAATGACAAAGTAATTCTACAATTTAAAATGGCGAGCTATAAAAGATGTGGTTGAATAACAACATGATAAATAGCCCACAAGCTTAAATAACGAAAAGTTAAAATGACAAGCGTAAAAAACTACATGGTTAAAATATATTATATATTAAAATTTTAAATAATAACGAGATAAAATAACAAGCTTTAAAAGCGACAAAAATAACAAAATAAAATGACGACAAGCCTAAATAATGACAAGTAAATCCTGCAAGCTAAAATAACATGGTTAATAAATAAAATGCTGTCAAAATAAAATGACAAGCTTTAAAAACATCAAGCTAAAATACCAACAAGCTTAAATAATGTCAAGATAACCATACAAGCTTAAATATCGACAAGCTAAAATGCTTACAAGATAAAATGACGATAAGATTTAAAAACCTCAAGCTAAAATACCAACAAATTTAAATAATGACAAGCTAAAATGACATTGTTTAATATTGCCAACCTAAAATTTTGCCAAGATTAAATATCGACAAGCTAAAATGCTGAAAAGATAAAATGACGACAAGCTTTAAAAACATCAAGCTAAAATACCAACAAACTTAAATAATGTCAAGATAACACTACAAGCTTAAATTACATGATTAAATATAGACAAGCTAAAACGCTTACAAGATAAAAGACGACAAGATTTAAAAACATTAAGCTAAAATACCAACAAATTTAAATAATGAAAAGCTAAAACTAGGTTTAAAAGTATTGTACTGCCAAAAGTCAAGCTTGCTGTTGGTAAAAAAACTAGTCTCTACAATGGTATAAAAATCTTCAACATGTTACCTAATAACATCAAAGTAGTAAATAACCCAAAAAACAAATTTACTTTTAAGTTTAAACAAATGTTAAAAGACTGGATTACCAAAAACTGTACCAATAATTCATTGTTAACTTAATAGTATTAAATGTTGGAATTATAAACTGTTTTCGCAATGATAATGAAAATATTATATATTATTTTAGTTTAGTTTTAAGATCCTAGTTTTTAAGTTATGTACCGGACCTATGTACAGGTAATTTTATTACCTCCAATAGGCAGAAATTATTTTCTGTACACGTGTATCTGGATGTTAAAATAAATAAATAAATAAATAAAATGACATTGTTAAATTGTTGCTAAGATTAAATATCGACAAGCTAAAATTCTGACAAGATAAAACAACGTCAAGCTTTAAAAACATCAAGCTAAAATGACATTGTCAAATGTCGCGAAGCTAAAATGTTGCCAAGGTTAAATATCAACAAGCTAAAATACCAACAAACTTAAATAATGACAAGCTAAAATGACATTGTTAAATATCGCCAAGCTAAAATGTTGCCAAGATTAAATATCGACAAGCTAGAATGCTGAAGATAAAAATGACGACAAGCTTTAAAAACATCAAGACAAGATAATCCTACAAGCTAAAATGACAAATCGACAAGCTTAAATGCTGTCAAGATAAAATTACGACAAGGCAATTCCACAAGCTTAAATGACAATGTTAAATATTGACAAGATTAAACTTTGTCAAGATTAAAGGACGACAAGATAATCCTACAAGCTTAAATGGTATTTTTAAATATCGACAAGCTAAAATGCTGTCAAGATAAAATGACGACAAGTTTTAAAAACATAAAAAATACTAACAAATAAATAATAACTAGAAACTCTTAAAAGCTCCAATGGCATTGTTAAATATCGACAAGATAAAATGACGACAAGCTTAAATGACAAAATAAAATAAGAAGGTTATTATAAAACTGTTTTAAAAAACTAAAATACAACATTTTTATGTTTTAGTGGGTCAAGATTCCAGACTGGTGTCATCAGAACTAACAATAGGATTTTTACTGTCCGCCCAACAAGAAACAACATGCGAAAAAATACAGGAAATCAATTTAGATGTATATACAATGAACAATTATCAAATACCTTTAAGAGTGTCGACATTTGACAGGACTGAACAAGTTTTAATAAAGGCTTTTAAGCACATAAATTTGCCGTTAGAATTTTTACAATATTTCTCTCTGTTTCTCATCAAGAGAGATAACAATGGGGATTTTGTTATTTTGCGGAAACTGCTCGACTTCGAGTCGCCATACATGTCACAAAAGTCTCTTAGGGAAGCAAATAAAATAGTTATAAGGAAAAGGTAAGATTTTTTTATTAAAACTATTTTTATTATTGTAACAATGTTTTAGTTATTGGGATATAAGCTACGATTTGAGTTTAATGAACGATCCTATAGCCTTAAACTTACTGTACGTGCAAACTGTGACAGACATCGAGCGCGGCTGGATTCTAAGCACCCGCGAAGTCAAGTCGCAGCTGACAAATTTACAAGTGCGGCTGGCAAAACGCGAGTACTTGGATCTAGCCAGAACGTTGAAGTACTACGGGTTCATACAGTTTGCCCCGTGTTACTGTGATTACCCGAAACCGTTAACCAAAGTATTAATTGCAATAGGCGACCAAGTATTGAGTATGAGGATAATTGGGCCCGGGCAGCTCGTCAAAGAAGGATGCTTCGAGGTGACGAGAATGAGGTGTTGGAGAATCACTGCCACGCATGTAAGCCAAACAAAAATCGCATTTACACACGTAATAATTTTTATCTCCACGCGGTCTATAATTTAAACTTTATTGTTGTCAACATTCGATAAAGAAATACCTTGTTATGGCCTAGGCCGATAAAAAACTTTATGAGGCAAGTAATTAGTTCGATTTTTTCTCGCTAGGGGTATTGTTTTGACCAATTAATCCTTTTCTAAGAAATTAACTGGTTTAATTTATTTATAATAAGCACTAATTTGTTTGTTTTACTGTTAATGTTTAATAATTTTCATTAAATTATTGTAAAATTAAATATGAATAATAAAACAAAAAGTGACGTTAGGCAACCAAGAAAACGCACGATTCTTTTTCTACGATTTAAATTATTAAGTTTTAATTTGCTTTAAGTTTTCAGTGAAATTATATGTTAAACACAGCTTAAACATTCCAAACCAGGGTTGGAAAAAAACATGTTTTTTTTAAATAAAACATAAAAACATGTTTTTTTTGTTTTATACTGTTTTTTTTTGTTTTAAACTGTTTAAAACACTTTATAAAAAAAACATGTTTTAAACGTTTAAAACATGTTTAAAACTAGTTTAAAATAATAATGCATAACACTTTAGAAAGATAGGCATTATTAGGGTGTGCCAAAAAAAGAGTTATTTTTTTTTCATGCTCTCACCCCAAAATCTCTCAGAGAATGCTCAAATAAAGCTTCTGTTAAAATCAGACATCCATATTCAAATTTTAAGAGGTTCTCCATCGAACTTTAAGTTTTTCCGTCTAAATAACATGGAAAACATGGTTTTTTGACACTTTTTTGTCCTGCAAGGTGTGAAAATTTTTTTTTTTATGAAAATACATAAATGGACCTTTTTTATCATTAAATTTACTACAAAAAGTTCTATGAAGTCAAATTCTAATCTTCAATACTTGATTTTTGACAGAGCTTTAAACTTCAAATTATCGGTTTTCTGCATTTTTTAGCTATACCATAAGAGTTAGAGAAAAATGTTAAATAGCCGATTTCTAGAACGTTTAAAATCCTACAAAAAAGTCCCGATCAACTTTTTTGTATCACCAATAGCTACAAAGCTACAAATATTAATTTTTTTAAATTTTTCCTTCTACGAACTAAAATATCAATAATTAAACTAAAACTTTGATACAAATTCACTATAATATCAAATTTGCAACAAAATTAATAATTTAATGTGTTTTATAGCATAAAATATTCAAAGTAACAAGCTTATTTTCGTCGTATTTTTATAATTTTCCAACTCTATTACAAAATATATCAATAAAAAATATGAAAGTTTATTAAGATATGAAAAGTGCATTGTTCTGATAATTATTTATTATTATTTTTAAATTTAGCCGTAAATTGACTGTAATTGACGTCTTATGTCTTAAAAATCGTTTTTATCTATCTATTATTTTAACTAAAATTGGTTAAAAAATAAAGTTCAAAACATGTTTAAAAAAAACACAGTTTAAAACATGTTTTAAACAGTTTAAAACAAATCTGTTTAAAACACTCTTAGCTGTTTTAAACAAGTTTAAAACAAATGTTTAAAACAGTTTGTTTTAAACATAACAACCCTGTTCCAAACTACCTATTTTTTAAATAAAAATCCAAACAAATTGAAATTAGATACCTACCTATTTATTAAACAATTTATTGAATTCAATGTAATAGCAAAAATCCATTTCTATTTAAATCATGTAGCTAGGTATTGTCAAACTATTACTGCTTCTAAAAGCAATAATAATTATTGTACATTTAATGTAATCTTTAGCTAATAAATAAATGAGATTCTAAAAAAGTGAGGTTAGGCCGCTTTGATGTTGAATTAAATTGACCTATATAAAGTGCTTTGAAGATAAAATGTTGTATGCCATTCGGCCAAGAAGTGCCTTTTTATGCACAAAAAGCCTTACTTCTTAACCTAAAGACATAAATAACTATTTCTTTGCAGAATAAGCAAGCGATTGCGGCAAACAGTCGAACAAATAGCAATAGCAACGGTGTGGAATTGTCATTCGAGTATCTGATGGCGAAAGACACCTTGCAACTGATAACAATAACCAGCGATCAGGCCATATTAATGTCGGTATGTCTGCAGTCCCTAGTGGACGAGTTGCTGATGAAGAAAAAAGGCCTGAGGAAAAAACAAAAATATTATTCCAAAGGCGGTAATTGCTCCTACATGAAACGAGACGGGTCCAGTCATTTGATAGTGTTCGATAGTAACGACGTCAACAGTGGTCCTGTAAGTTTAATTTTTAAAGTGCGCGATTTTTTCTGATTTTTTTTTTATTCCAGGCCGAGGAGACGGAAACGTCGAAGCTGCCGGAGTTGTTTTCGATAAAAAAGCTGCAAGAGAAATTCTCGAGCGTGTCGTTTAAAACCGGCAGGGAGTTTATTGAAAATCACGCGTTCGAAGGTATCGGTGATGACGATTTATAATAAAGTGATAAACAATGGGTTTTAATTTGCTTTTGGCAATTTGAAGTGCTAAAATGTGGATTTTGATTTAAGGTGCTAAAACTTGTCCAAATCAATTACTTGCCATTTAATTCTAAATAATTTGGCAATTAAATAAATTTTATGAGGTGCAACCTCGACAGTCCATTTTATGTGCCAAAAACATGCTAATAAGAAAAAACTATTTTAATAAAGTCGCCAATATATTTATGTACGATATACATCTACTTCATGAGTAATTGATTAATTTTTAAAGTCATCACAACACATTTTCCTTTTCAATGAGCTCAAATTCGAATCTCTTTTATTTGAGTACCTGAGTAAACAAATTTGCTCACTTGGCATCTTCGTTTTTAACGGTGTGCAAGTTTTTATATTTTTATACATATTTATATCGGAATTATTCTGATTAATCTATGTTTAGCAATCTAGTGATTTTTGTCAAAGAATTAAACTTTAAATGCTTTTTATTTTATATTTTGTATATTGTCTTACATTCCGTAGGGATTTTTTAACATATTACTCCATTATTTTATATTTTTATAACTAAAATTGTATTTTAACTATGATGTTGTGCTGTATGTAATTATTATAAACAAATTTTAATAAAAAATGACAATAAACCCCTTTTAATTCCAATTAATACAAAAATAACACTTCGATGTAATCTGGGTTGCATACTGTTCCGTAAATATTCCAATTAATACAAAAATAACATTCAATATGCAACATATCTACTATGATGTAATCATGGTTGCGTAAAATTTGTTTGGGCGTATGTCTTAGCTTTTTCTATGGTGGCAGTTGGATTTCAAACTTTGTTAGACTTGCGTCTCCTTTAAAAATTTGTGTTTAAATACTTAAGTGCAGAGATATTTGGGAAAAATAAACGATTCGTCGTGATTATTGTTCACATACACTGTTTGTCAAGCAGTAGTGTTGGGTGCATACTTGTTTTAAACAGGTGTTTTCGCACATAACCTTAACCGCTTTGAAGAAGAAAACCGGCATTAAAATGGAAAACAAGACGCTTGATTTAACTAAAAAATTGATCGAGAAGCAAGAAGAGCTAAAGAAGAGGAGGGCAGAAGAGCGCAAAACTTCGAAACCTTATGCAGAGATGTTTGATGAATTAATCGCTATGAAGAGTAAGTTTTATAATATTACAACGTTTAGAGCACTAAATTCTGCGGGCTTAGAAGCTAAACTTATAACTTTTCTTTCGTTTAGAGCACATCGAGGTTGAGTTGGCGGGAATCGCTGAAAAAACGCAGGAGCTGAACTCGAAGCAACTTCATTTGGAGCAGTTGGTCACGAAGGTTCGCCTGAACATGCAAACGCCCGAGGGAATGGCAAAATTGAAGATTAAGTCCGACAAGGTTATGGAGTTTGGCGAGATTTTGGCCGATGCTGAGAAATATTTTAAAGAGCACCCACCTAAAAGATACACATTCCTTGGAGAGGTTAAGGAGGACTTAAGTAGGAATGCAATTTGGCTTTATAAATTCAACAATGCCCTACATACAATGACTGGACTGACCAAGGATAAGAATGGTAATTTTACTACTAAAATTGGTTAAAAATATGTTTTCTTATATTTTTTTGTTGTTTAGGTGAAAATGCTGAGGATGAAAATTCATCCATCACATCCTTTGCAGACAACAGCGACGTTGTCGCTTCTTCACCTCAGTAACATGTTTATGTTACCATACAGATTTTGCCTTAAAAAGTTTTACGATCCAACATGGTTACATAAGACACTAAATATGAGATTAAAATTGCAGTTGTCTTAATGACATTGTCCAATGTAACCTTGTTTGGTGGTATACTTTTTGGGCAAATATTTGTTTTATGTTATAATCCAAACTGTGTTATTAGAATAATTTTTTAAGTTTTTAAGTATGAATGTGAGTCAATGTGCCTTAAGAATGTATGGTACATTATTTTAATGTTATGTTTCTAAGATTTTTATAAAATGATTGGTTTTTAATAAAAACTGTTTAAACTACGAGACTTTTCATTAAACAAAAACTAATTTTGAAATCTGAATTAAATCACTTTATAATAACTTGTAATTAATGTAATGTAATTTATTTTTTAGGATTTTATGAGCCAAGGCTATATTCTTTGGTTATTTTTTAAGACTTTACTGGTCAAGTTTCTATATTTTTCAATTAAAAATTTTAAATTATTTTGAAATATTTACGAGCAAAGACTATAGTCTTTGGTAATAACTTTTATGAGCAAAGGTTTTGGTTATTTCTTAAGACTTTACTGGTGGAGTTTTAATATTTTTCAAGTAAAAATTTCAATTATTTTGAAATATTTACGATCAAAGACTTATAGTCTTTGGTAATAACTGGTAACTGGTAAATTTCAGAAATTTAATTAACTAAAAATATTTATTTTTAAGGTTGTTATGAGCCAAGGCTATAATAGTCTTTGGTTATTTTTTTAAGACTACTACTATTTGTCCACAACAACAGAAATTTAATTACCAAAATATTTAATTTCAAGAATTTTATGACCAAAGACCTAAAAATATTAACCATCCTGACAGGCAGAAAGTATTTGATACCTTCGGCTATTGGAGCTCCAAATGGGATAGTAACAAAGTGTTGGAGCAGATCCTATAGGATTATAATCCTGTAAATCAGTCCATACTTCAATCATGAAAAACTCCAATCAGTAAAGATTCCTACGTCACAGTCAAATTAGAAGATTAAATGTGAGTTTGGCGTTTTTGGTAATTTTTCCAGGTGTTAAATGTTTTTTGTATTATTTCCAGGATTGTCCTGATATTGATGACGGTCGACATTCTGTAGAAAATCAACGAGAGTCAACAGTTTAATGTTTTATGATATTTATATGTTTAAAGTGTTATATTATTAAAAAAAAATTTAATAAACATTTTTAAAACTTTTTTTGTTTTTTATTTTTTCCCACATTAACGATAGAAAATGGACATTTGGCAACGTTACAATATGGCGGACCCTGTAAATCTGGCAACGGCGTATAATGGCTGTTTTATTCAATTAAAATTTGCTTCGTCCGCCATTTTGAAACGTTGCCAGACTTTTATAATAAATGGTTAAAATTTTTAAGAAATTGCCTTGATCTGGTATTTTTGAGAAATCTGGCAACGTTGCATTGTATCAGGCGCTATACCTCCTCGCTTTTCTACGATCCTAATACGAAACCCGAAAAATTGCAAAAATTTTCTAAACGGTTAAAATTTTGGGATTTTTCGAATTTTGTATTAGGATCCCAGAAAAGCGAGGAGGTATTGCTCCCGATACAATGCGATGTTGCCATATTTCTCAAAAATACCAGATCAAGGTACTTTTTCAAAAATTTGAGAAATCTGGCAACATCGCAATGTATCGGGAGCATTACCTCCTCGCTTTTCTGCTATTCTAATAAAAAATCCGAAAAATCGCAAAAATTTACCAAATGGTTCAAATTTTGCAATTTTTCAGATTTCGTATTAGGATCGCAGAAAAGCGAGGAGGTATTGCTCCCGATACAATGCGATGTTGCCATATTTCTCAAAAATACCAGATCAAGGTACTTTCTTAAAAATTTGAGAAATTTGGCAACATCGCATTGTATCGGGAGCAATACCTCCTCGCTTTTCTGTTGTCCTAATAAAAAATCCGAAAAATTGCAAAATTTTACCAAATGGTTCAAAGTTTGCAATTTTTCAGATTTCGTATTAGGATCGCAGAAAAGCGAGGAGGTATTGCGGAGGTATTGATACAATGCGATGTTGTCATATTTCTCAAAAATATCAGATCAATGTACTTTCTCAAATATTTGAACCATTTGGTAAAATTTGCGATTTTTCGGATTTCGTATTAGGATCGCAGAAAAGCGAGGAGGTATTGCTCCCGATACAATGCGATGTTGCCATATTTCTCAAAAATACCAGATCAAGGTACTTTTTCAAAAATTTGAGAAATCTGGCAACATCGCAATGTATCGGGAGCAATACCTCCTCGCTTTTCTGCTATCCTAATACGAAATCTGATAAATTGCAAAATTTTAACCAAATGGTTCAAATTTTGCAATTTTTCATATTTAGTATTAGGATCGCAGAAAAGCGAGGAGGTATTGCTCCCGATACAATGCGATGTTGCCATATTTCTCAAAAATATCAAATCAAGGTACTTTCTCAAATATTTGAACCATTTGGTAAAATTTGCGATTTTTCGGATTTCGTATTAGGATCGCAGAAAAGCGAGGAGGTATAGCTCCTGATACAATGCAACGTTGCCAGATTTCTCAAAAATACCAGATCAAGGTAATTTCTTAAAACATTGTCGATCTGGCAACATCGCATAATGGCCCGTTTAATAATTGAAATTTGCATAATCCGCCATTTTGCAACGTTGCCAGATTGACAAAGCCCGCCATTTTGCAATGTTGACAGATTTCCATTAGGTATCGTAAATAAGGGAAAAATAAAATTTAAAGAATGTTTTGAATTTAAAATTTAAATATATTGCTCTGCAAAAAAATGCAAGGGTGTAAATAAAAATGCATACATTTTTAAATAATTTATTTTATTGAAGAAATCAAATTTATGTAATAAACAGGCTGTTCTTCGTCTTGGATCGTCTAAGCTGCTACATTGTCGCTTTTGTTCGGTGTGGTTCAATTGTCTTTGTTCGCCTTAGATCTTCTTGGCTCGTCTAAGCTCGCCTAGGCTCGTATTCATAACCTAAACAAAGAAAAATTTAAGTTTAATTAATTTTACAACGATTTAATTTATATAAAAGCATGGAAAACCAATAAACGAACTTTAGTTCAGCCATATTTATAGATGGCGATGCTAATAATATTTTGTAGGTAGGCAACTAAGATAGAACATTTTTGTAATATGTTTGCCTACCTACAAAATATTAATTGCAGCGCCATCTATCCAAGTCAGAGATATGGATATCTCTGAACCAAGAAGACTAAATACAGAAGGAGTAACTTGCTAGTTGAGGGCACGCCAAAAAACGTACGTACTATGCTTCACACTTAAAATTCCGACGTTAACATCTGAATACAAAAAATTAAGGTTATCTATTAATATAGAACAAACCTATAAGGCCTTGTGGGTAAAAAGTTACTCCTTCTTTATTTAGTCTTCATGATACAAACTTAACTAAACGTCAAACATTTAACCTCTACGAACGCCACTGTCAAAATTAAAGGTGGCTTTATATTAAATGCCTTTTTTATTAAAATTGAGTGTTCTTTTTTCTCCATTTTACAATGAATATATAGTCGCGTATATTTAAAAGAAATAAAATGTGTAGGTTTCAATGTTATTTACTATTATTATTATTACTATTATGAATATGAATTTTTGTTGTTTTCTAAAAATAAATGGTTTATGTTTGTCCTTGAAGGTTTTTAATGCGCATGATTACGTAATATTAAAAATATATACTAATATTCTGATATTAAGGTTGTTTTTTATCTGTTTGATAAAATAAAATTTAAAAAATAATAAATGTTTTATTTGGTAATTTATTTTTGTCGCGAATACCCGTACGGCACTGTTTTGGTGGAATACGAGTTTATCCCGGTGTGAGCATGGCGGCAAGCGTGGACGTATTCTAGTTTTGTGATTTTTTTCCAATTATCTCGAACGTAGTTTTTCTTGATGCAATTCGAAATCGAAAAATAGTGACTCGGTCGAAATAGTGATAATAGTGAAAATGTAAATATGTGAGTTTACGGGCTGAAAAACATTGAATAAATAAAGTGCCCGGGCTTTCAGAATTCGTAAATTATGGCGTCGAACGACGAAAATTCGTCGGATGAGGAAAACAGGGGTTACTTTCGAAAAAGTAACGTTTTCGAGCCTATAAACGAGTGCGAAATGTGTTTTACGACCTGGGCAAAGTGTGCCTGCAAGGTGTCCAACAATTTCCCCGTCTCCAATGGCTCAAGTAAGTATCTTTATTTGTAAACACTTCAAAACAAAAATATTGCCGAATTTTTTTAATCACTGCTTTAAACCTTAATATATACAGACAGTAAAAACGCACATTGTTTTAGAGAGTACTTTATCCAATGGGCAAAGACTTGCGAGCTTCAATCACAAAGACGACAGTAGCGAAAAGAGTCGGATTTCGGGGGACGATTCCTATTTGCTTGGTGTCGGGTCCAATGATTTAACTTTCGAAAACACGCGATTCAGTGATACAATAAATTCTCCCTTGAGTAAGGCCAACAATCATATCATGGACATAATCCCAGAAGACGATGACAGTGTTGGTTTCGAAAGGGAAAAGTCCTATTTAAGCTCCAGCGATGATTTAACAGAGAGCCTGGACATGGGCCGGAATTGTAAGGATAGTGTTTTTAGTGAGTTTAATAATAAATATCCTGTATTGTTAGGTGATAATGATAATGATAACAAAGGGAACTGCATAGTATTCAAAAAGGAAGTCGTGTCTCCCAGTATCGATTCGGAGAGTTCTTCGAAACACTCATTTCCTGAAACTAAATCAGGTGACGATGAAAAAGCCTGTGATCAATCATGCAATATTAGTGATGTAGATGTAGACTCTAAAGATAATATAAAGCCTGAGACATCTCTAAACTGTGGCCTTTTAAACGAGAATGTGAATAACAATAATATTAAAAACGCAAAGCAGGAACTCTGTTCAAAACTTATAGAAAATCTGGATTATACCTTATTGAAAGGAAAACAAGGCATTGATTTACTTACTGCCATCGAAGAGCAAACAAATGTCAATTTGACAGTTACTCACCACCCCTCTGAGTCTGTCAGCAGTCAGGAAACAATGTGTTCACCAAGAAAAAACCGAACAAGATCGGTGGACGTCATATCAAACCCCATCATCGGCATTAAAAGAGCGCATTCCGCCGACGTGGACGAGTCCAACATCAAACTAAGAAAAATCGACTTCAAACAGTACAAAAAAGTCAATCTCGAGGTCAAACCGGAAAAGAAGAAGGACGAGAAAAGTCGGCATTATAAAAAAAGTGAGAAAAAATCGCGAAGGAAGTCCATAAGTACACAAACCAAAATTTACGATCAAGTAAACAGTTTTAATGATCATAGTGGGGACATTCCACCGAGAATTTTGACCAATGGAAACTACAGCCACCCACCTGAGGATGTAAGTTTTATTTTTATTTTTTTTATTGTTAAAAATTTTATTTTGTAGTTTATGCTATATTATGATAACAAGGTATATAAATGTAAATGTTTCTTATCATTGTAGCAAATTCTTTTTATGCATCAGGTATGAGTAATTAATTATTACACCAGTACATAAATTTTCAATTTTTTGATGACTCAAACTTTTTTTCTACTTGCGTCACAAGCGACATTATGACGTTTTATAATATATTTTTTTTTACAAATTTGGCAACACAATATGTCATTATTATTGAAATGTCAGTTACTCCTATATTGCTATCGCCCGTGAGTGTCTCTTTCTATGGTACTTTGAGTCTAATGCGCATGTCCAAGAATTGACACATCGAATTTGCTATTTGCTGTGTCAATTTTTGGACATGCGCGTAAGAGCTGCCATGAAATTTATAAATTGAAAATAAAGCCAGCGGTTCTCAAAATATTGAAAAAAAAACCTAAAACCATTGAAATCCAAAATATCTGGGAATTTTGAAACAAAGTAAGTTTAACATGTAAGCACACACATTAATCTACATTTTCAATCAATTTCTTTGCTACTATATTTTGAGTTATAGTCTATACCATCTTTACCATCATCATCTTTTGTATTTATAATTGCCGCCATAAGTTATGTAGATTAACACTGTTGGATTCCTTGATTTTTTTCTATCTAACCATGTAAAATTCCAATACGACGGCCACAGAAAAAACAAAAGGTAGTGGTGGCAAGATAGGATGGTGCGCATGTTGGGCGGGGCTTAAATACGTCACTTTAACGTGCGTTTTAATTATCTGCTGCTAAAATTTTTGTTTTTGCGATGCTGTTGGATATTAACTTGCACTATTTTTTTGTTTAACTTGTTGTTTTTGCGTTCGGTAAGGTTCGAATTACTTTTCAGTGTTCAAATTATTGTTATTGCGTTGTGTTAACCTGTTCTGTTTGTTTATTATTGTTTTTGCGTTGCGTTAACTTGTTTTGTATGTGTTTTAGTTTGTGTAGTACCATTTGCATTTATTAAAATGCGGTGTGGCATATTTGGATGCAATTCGGACAACCAGTTCAAGAAAAACCCTTTAAATAAATCGATTCCCGAAAAACTTTGATTTGTGCAAACAGTGGTTAAATGCCACAAAAAGAATAGACAATATTAACGTTAAAACCGCTTTTGTTTCCTATAAACATTTTCTGGACAGTGACTATAAGTTTAATTTAAAACACCAACGCTTAAACTACAGCCCTAAATGTTATCAAAGACTGAAAGCATCTATTATCCATATTATAACGCTTACTTTAATATTAGGTTTAAGATATAGTACTATTATTCGTTTATTCACACGGCAACTACTCATCAAGTGACGTCATGCGCGGCACGAACCAAAACTCGTACACGGGAGCATCCAGCCCTGTGGTGATGGTATCTCAAAATCTAGTTGTGTGTATGTTTACATGTAAAACTTACTTTTTTTAAAGATTCCAGAAACAATGAAGTTATAACGATTTTTAGTTTTAAAAGGTTTTCAGTTATTTTCAAATTATTTGTTTTTTATTTTTAAATGCGATTTTAACGGACTAAATAGTTACCCATACATACATAGAAGAATACTTGGTGCACCCTGCAGAAGTGGTAGATATAAAAAATGAGATTAAGTTGACATTTGGAGCTACCAAATGCAGAAAAAATAGATTAAAGAACCCATAAAAAGTTGTTCTCGTGCGAGAAAATTATATTCTTTCTTTAATATATTTTAATTATACTATTTTTATACAGTATGTTGGTATTTTTTATTAGGGTGATTTAATTTCTTACAAAAACATTTATAAAGATTTAATTAAATGATTGAAAGAAAAGATGGAAAACAGATAACATTAAAAGCTTAAAATTGGTGAGTATTTTCACAAAGTGCCTAAGAACCAATTTTTCAGTGTCGAAAGTAAAAAAATATTTGATTTTTTTGAATCACAATATTAATTGTAATCTGGGTTGCCTACCTACATAGAGTATACAAAACCCATGGCAATAATTTTAATATATTTGTTACTTACAACTTAAAATACCAAGTTTCCAAAATTCCAACGTAAATAATTTCAAATATTCAGTTAGACCTTAATTCTAATCAGAATATATGCACCAAAATTCCCGCCCTTGGTCATGTTTCATTGTTTTCCTTTGGTTGCTATTTTTGGAATTTATTTCAGAAAAACCTGAAGTACCGCGGATTTTACCACGTGGAATCGCACTCGAACGGAGGCGCGAAAATATTGCGGATGTACCACGACGAGATAAAACATCTGAACCCCACGGAAATGAAGGAACTCGCGTTGGAATTCTTTTCGCTCGCCTTTTCCGAAGATAAAGACGAGTGCGCCAGATTCGTGATAGCCGTGGTGCACGGTTCCGCCGGCTATTTACCCGACATCCTCGAGTACATGGCCGAGACTTATCCGAACTTGACGGTCAAAAACGGACTTCTCAGCAAAAGTTCCGACATTGAGACCACCACTCTATCGGCTTATAACGAAAACGTCGTCAAGCATTACGATACGGGGACTGTGAGATACGGTCCTTTGCATCAAATCAGTATTGTGGGGACTGCGCACGAAGAAGTCGGCGGATATTTTCCCGACGTGCTGGAGCTCTTGGAGGATAATCAGTTTTTAGAATTGGTACGTGCCTAATTAATTGTCATTTTAAAGGGTCCGAAATAATCTTATAAAATTGCAGACGATGCCGTGGGGCGGTCTTTCGATATGCGACCAAATGAAGCCCACGGAATCCAATGACGGCCCGATAATCTGGTGCCGACCGGGTGAACAACTGGTGCCAACTGCCGATCTGAAAACCCCCAACAAACGAAAACGGTAAGCGTTCATACAGACTGTATAGAATCAAGTAAGTAAGGCTGGAGACAAGGATGACAAATTATATTCTGATCGGAGAAAAAGAAACAAACTTTAATTGGGCGTGGTTTAAACCAAGCCATTCGTAATTACGAACCATAGTTGCCAGGTTGTTTTAAATCAGAAGAGAACGATTATAATTATTTAATAAATAGTTCTAATAGTTTTTGTTTGAAACTTTAAAAATAACAAAAAAATTAATAATATGTCAAAAATAATTTGATTTAGTTAATTTTCTTACTTTTAATATTAAAAAATAAGAAAAACAACCCTTTTAGGAAACAGTAATAGCGTATGGCAACAGCGCGGCATGCAGCCAGATACAAGGGCATGCAGTTTGATCTACTGTGTTTGTTCAGTAGCTTCGACGCGGTCGTAGGGAAATGTGTATAGTTTTTAAGAAATACATTTTCGCCATTAACTGGAATTTAATGGATTTTAAACAATACTTAGTTTTTATTTGCAGAAATGCATTAAAACAAAACAAACGAATTCGATTAAAATAAAACCTATAAATTCTCAAACAAAAATAATTCTAAAATAACGAAAATAACTTTTTTTCTAAATTAAATGTTCAAATAGACCACCAGCAGCAGTTAAACATTACCCTAGCCTATCATAAAAATTCCTGCGCACGTTAAACAGTATGTTAAACAGCATTTCAGGACTAATATCAATCCCTACCACAGTGGGCGGGGTTTGGCACTTGTGCATCTATTCGTTTTAATACAGACTGTATTTACACACGAACGCGCGAACCAATTTTAAACGCGTTCATTTCCAGGACCGGCATAAACGAGCTGAGAAATCTGCAGTATTTGCCGCGCATGTCCGAAGCCAGGGAGCACTTGTTCGAAGACCGCACCAGGGCGCACGCCGACCACGTGGGCGCCGGTTTGGATCGCAAAACCACGGCCGCGGTCGGCATCCTGAAAGCCATACACGGCGGGAAAAACGAGGGGCCCCTTAACAGAATAACGAAGGATGTGGTCGCGTTTTCCGCCAGGCATTTCGATGTTTTGGCGGAAAAGCTGCAGTTGGATCTGCACGAGCCTCCAATATCGCAGGTGAGTGCGTTTTAGGATGCGTTAACATCGCCCCATAGATGGCGCCATATCACAGAAGTTTAACAGATGATTTTAGTATTAAAATCCACGATCAGTGTTGTTACAAGCAAAAAATATGTGCACTAGTTTCTAGGGAATGATTGTACCTCATTGTACCAACATTAAAAATTTATTAAACAATGCATATACCACAATCCACACAACAAGGTATGTTCTATCTCTTACTAAAAATACAAAAAATCACTGCAACACTGCACGGTTTAACGGCGGCAATTTTTGTTGTTTACAATTTTTGTGCTTTGGGTTTGTGCTCTGTTTATACAGATTAATAATCGTTTTAAACGTTGTGTTTCTCATAGTAAACTTAAAAGAGGCCTTAAAGTGCTAAGAACAACATTTTACTCCTCTATTGTAAAAAATAAACTTATTCTATCAGGGCTGTCATAAAACTGTCACATGTCAATTTTAAGGTTAAATTATAACCCACAAATAAACCTTCAGATTGTCATTTGACAGCCCTGATAGAATAAGGTAGACCTTGTTGTGAGGATTGTGGCATATACCTCATTTTCATTTTACATGTAGACAGTCTGCATTCGGTTTTTGAGTGGGAGAATAATTTTTAAGGGTGGGAGACCCCGAGAGATAGTTTTAGTAATTCATCAGTTGACCCTTCACCGGCGTTAGGTTATAGTCGAAGTTTGCTCTGGATTATTAATACGAATTACGTATTATTAAGTTAATTTACTTTAAAAAATGATTTAGATACTTAAAATATCACTTTTAACACTAAATTATTAATTAAAAGGTGCAAAATCATTATTTGTTTTGCATTTAACTAAAAGTGTTTTCTTATAAAAAAACGTTTAAACATAAAAAATTCTCTTTAAAAACTAAAATAAAATAATTCTCTTGAAAACAAATTAAAATAAATAAAAGAAAACTAAAAATCAAACTTCTTACAATAATAGTTATTTATGTTATTAGGTTAAGAAGTAAGGCTTATTGTGCTAAGCTCAAGGTTTGAGCGAAGCACAAAAAGGCACTTCTTGGCCGAATGGCATACAACATTTTATCTTCAAAGCACTTTACATAGGTCCATTTAATTCAACATCAAAGCGGCCTAACCTCACTTTTTTAGAATCTCATTTATTTATTAGCTAAAGATTACATTAAATGTACAGTAATTATTATTGCTTTTAGAAGCAGTAATAGTTTGACAATACCTAGCAACATGATTTAAGTAGAAATGGATTTTTGCTATTAAATTGAATTCAATTAATTGTTTAATAAATAGGTAGGTATCTAATTTCAATTTGTTTGGATTTTTATTTAAAAAATAGGTAGTTTGGAATGTTTGAGCTGTGTTTAACATTTAATTTTACTGAAAAGTTAAAGCAAATTAAAACTTAAAGATAATTTAAATCGTAGAAAAAGAACCGTGCGTTTTCTTGGTTGCCTAACCTCACTTTGTTTTATTATTCATATTTAATTTTACAATAATTTAATGAAAAATATTAAACATTAACAGTAAAACAAACAAATTAGTGATTATTATAAATAAATTAAACCAGTTTAGTACGTTAATTTCTTAGTAAAGGATTAATTTGTCAAAACAATACCCCTAGCGAGAAAAAATCGAACTTGCACTTGCCTCATAAAAAATTTTATCGGCCTAGGCCATAACAAGGTATTTCTTTATCGAAGGTTGACAACAATAAAGTTTAAATTATAGACCGCGTGGAGATAAAAGTAAATATATAAATAAATTATTTAATTAATAAAAATAATAAATTATTATTTGAACACAAGCTTTGAATAATTTATTCAAAATACAACCAATTGTTTTAAACCTTTGGATAACGTTTGTTATTGTTCTAATTGACGGAATATAACTATCCGGATATTTAACTGAGAATAGGTCTCTTGTTGGACGTAGAGAATTGCCCACTAAAGACCAGCTTATCATGTCAATTTTCTCCTGCAATGTGTAGGACATTATAACTTATAATTTTAAATAAAAGAAATTAATTTATGTTAAAACGCCAGAAATTCACACTAGCAAATGCAAATTATAACTGAATCGTTGCCTATAGAAATCTGCAATCTGGGGTGTATGTTTCAAATGAAAATGCGGTATATTTAAAAATATATAAATAAAAAATCTATCACAATTGTGTGTAAAAATCATAAAACTATACAATTATTTTTAGTGTGTAACTTGGATTGAGGACGCGAAGCTGAACCAGCTGAGACGGGAGGGCATAGAGTATGCGAGGATAAATTTATACGACAACGATATTTATTTTCTGCCGAGAAATATAATACATCAATTTCGTACGGTTACGGCGGTGACCAGTATAGGTGGGTAATTATTGTTGATGGATGATTTTGGGTGGTAAATATTTCTTTGTAGCATGGCATGTGAGGCTGAAGCAGTATTACAAGAAAGAAGAGTTGGAGCCGTCGCCTGAGCCAACACCCAAAGAAATTTGTACAAAATCCGATGACCAGCAGCATTACAAAAAGGACGTTAAAGTCGAGAAGGTCAAGCATAAGTTGGACTTTGAGTTTAAGAGTCAAGAGAAGAAGATACACAATTCCGACAAGGAGAAGACAAAGTTGAAGGAGAAAGAGAAAACGCGCGACAGAGACAAGGACAGGAAGCGCGATAAAGACAGAGACAGGCATAAGGACAGGAGGGACAAGTCGAAGAGCGACAAAGACAGAAGGCATCACCACTCGTCGTCGTCTTCGTCGTCGCACAGGCGCGACAAAGACAAGGACAAATCTCACCGCAGAGATCACGACCGGAAAAGCGACAAACACCGGTCCAGCGACAAGAAACATTCGTCTTCTTCGTCGTCGTCGAAATCGCACCACTCGTCGCATCACAGAGACAAAGAGAAGAAGTCGTCGTCGCAAAAACCGTCAAACGGTAGCAGCGGTGATTCCCCCTCGAAACTGCCGACTGCCAAAAGTTCCAGTACGAGTATCGGCGATTTGTCGTCGAGCCCGCTTAAAACCAACACCAGCGATTCGACTAGGTGCTCGAGCGATTCGGGCACGCTACTCAAACACCCCAGCACCAGTAGTGATTCGCCCGTGAAAAAACACAAAGATAAAATCGTAAAGGTGGTGAAGCCTGCAGCTCCGCAGTCCACCGACATCCTGGGCGACATTTTGAAGAACATGAACAAATAACCTTCACATAGATGTATTTGTTTATACATTTCTACAAGTCTTCAGTGCATCATTTTAAGCGGAAACGTCTTAGTTCATCATAATTCACCATCCCAATAGAATTGCAATGGTTTACGTAACGAAAAGAAAATACGGTGTAAACAAATATTAGAAATATTCCCCTAACACCAAAACAAAACACAAAGTGCTTAAAATGTTGGAGAATATTTTCAATGAAATGTGTATTTATTATAAATAAATACACATTTTTTTACTTTGTTGTAAACTGGGTCAAAATTATGGTAGGTTATGACGTTAAAAATTTGTAGAATCTCCCATATATTTATATTATATTTATTTTTAATATACCTGTATCATATACTTTTATAAATAGATTTTGCGTTATATTTATGAATTGTAAATATCTATTTAGATAAATGTTTTTATTAATATTTTAATATATTTAGAATGACTGCTGATTTTTGTTAGATGTACTATGATATTTAGTAATGCCTTTAAAGATGCTGTTTGCACCCAACAAAAATTAAAATCACAAATAATTTTACAGTAATTGTTATTTTTATTGACGCTAGTCTAACATTCGGAAATTAAAGATAAAAAATATTAGGAATACTGTAAAAAGCTATTAAATAAGTACAAAATTAGTTTTAGTTGAGCGATTGAATTAAAAGTGGCAAATGGCATCTATCTAACTATTGTACATTGCATTAAAATTAAACTAAGAAACAAATTAATTGCTTTTTATTGAATAAGTCCATTTGGAGATCTCGCCATACTTATTTATTATTATTATTTTAATTCGTTTGAAAGGAACATTTATCTTCTGTCGCTCACCAAAACATTTATATACATATCGAGAAAAAAATTCAGCCCTTAATTTTACTCTTAAGTACTTTTATTTTGATTTTAAAGTTTTCCCATTGAAATGAAATTAATTTACAATATTTTTGATTGATTTCTCTGTAAAAATACTTTTTTACTACAATTACTACAATATTTTTAATAAAAAATCAAAATAAAAGTAAGATTAAGAGCATGAAACTTTAAGGGCATTTTTTTCTCAATATGTAAATCAATATATTGCTTGGGGAGGGACAAAAATCAATGTTCCTTTAAAACGAATCACCCTAGTGTAAATATTGTACAGATTTTTTAAGCGTTGTTTTATGAAATGTATAACAATGTTGAAATGTTTTATATGGCAGCAAAATTAACATTCATTTCTACTTTTAATCCAAATTTTACCGAGGACCTATCCCACTCATCACAAATTTTATTGTGGTATGTGGGTAGTAAAATTCGTATTGAATCTGTAATTTATTGTTAAGAATAAGCAAATTTTTAATATCGGCAAACTTTATATTTATCTCTTGTCACAATTACATCACCCAATTTAGTAATAAAATAAGGTAATGGTATTATATATTTTTCTTCACATTCCATGAAATATTTTTTCTAAAATTACATCTCAATTAAATGGACTTTTATTTTTTAAACCTCAACCCTTCAGTTAATATAGGTAAGTCTATGGAACGCCAAAGTATTTTTTAATCGTCAATTAAAAATATCACATTTGAATTTCCGATATCACAAATCCAGTTTCTGATATTATAAAATCAATTTCTGATATCAAAAATTAATTTGCGATACCGAAAATTAATTTTTGATATCACAAATTAATTTCTGATATATTATAAATTACTCCCACCCCTCATGGAATTTTTTTTCTTATTTGTGTACGTATTGTACTTTAATTATGGGACACCCTGTATATGTACCAGTAGTTTTAAGGAAAAATAACCGAGACTGAAGGTAGGCAACCCCGATTACACGTAGACGTAATACCGGCTTCGCTTTATTATTTAGTATATAATTAGTAATTTTTTTCCAGGGTTTGCTTTGTAAAAACTAATTATTGATAATAACAAGTTTTAACCAACCTAACCCTGCAAAAATTAAACACCTAAATGTCAATGTATAATATTTATTTATCTGGGTAATTTCTTTTTTTCCTGCAACTTGGCAGCTTTCTTCTTCATTATTTGCAATCTTTTGTCAGCACTGATAATATTTAAATTGTGAGGAGGGGCGCTACTTCTTGAACTTGAAGCAGAGCTAGATGAACTAGATGGTTTTGAGCTAGATGAGCTTGATTTGCTACTGCTTGAACTTGATTTATCTAAAAAGAAGTTTATTATTAATATTGCTACCATATTCAAAATAATATTACTTACATTTATCCTTAGAGCTAGACTTATAAGAACTGGAACTGGAGGAATGTCTGTGTGAAGAGCTAGATTTTGAAGATTTCGAGGAAGATGAACTTGATGGTACAGAACTGCTTGCATTCGAGGAAGAAACTTGTTGCTTCTTTTTATTAGCATCCTAAAAATATATAATAAAAATACAATGTAACTAAAGCAATTGTTAACACTTACTTTGCAATTTTGGCAAACCCAGCCATCAAATGAGTCCTCCAAAGTAACCACAGGCTTGTGGCACTCTTGGTGATACAAAGAGTGACAATCAGAACACTCTAAGAGTCTATTTCTAGCCCCTACATCCATTTCACTAAAAATACACTATAATATGATTAAGATACGTTAAAGCATACAAAAAACTTACTTGCAAACAATACACAATAAGTCTTCTTTAAGTAAATCCAGCTCCAACTCGTTATCCGAATTAGACTGTTTACTTTCCTCATAATTGATAATCTTGATGTCATCTATCCTGTGCTGCTTCAGACAAACTGAAACCAGGCTTGTAAAATCTTTTGTGGTCCCTGTTTTGCTTTTTATTGCTTCTTCAAGGAATATTTGTAGAGGCACTTTATCACCGACCGTCAAATTCTCACTGGCGTGTAAATAACCGATACATTTTACGAAATTGGTGTCTATATCGTTAAGGCTCGTCATTTTGATTTTTAGAATGTCACATTTGAAATTAAAATAAAAAAATGCTTTTTAAACGTAAAAGGTCACCGCAGGTCATATAGAATTTGTAGGTTATGTTTATAAAAGTAGGGTGTTATTGTCTGTTAGGTTGCCTAGCTGGATTTTTAGGGACTTTTGGCGGTGTTTTGTTGGTGCTTTGGGGTGTCTCAAGTGACGCAATCAAATGCCAATATTTATAATAAAGATATATATATATATATATAAGAATTGATTGTTTATTAAATTAGTTGAAAATTAGGTTTTATTGTTTAGTTTAGTAAGATAGTTAATTTTGTTTGGTTATTGTGGCTAAATAAATATTTTGTAAAAGTTTATTTTTCGTTGAACTTTAGACACTGTAAATGGAAAAACGAAGACAACACACCAATGAAAAAGTGCCTATTAAAAATATTTTATCTAATGTTTATCTAATTTGATATTATTATTTAAAATGTAAAGTCTTATCTTGAAAATAAAACTGACTAATCACCAAAATATGTGAGATATTGTTGGCAAATGAAAATAAGGAATAATGGGTAAATAGAGGAAAACACATAAAAGTTTACAAAGGAGGTATTTGTAATTTCAATTTTAGATGATGGAGCGAGTGTAGGGGATAATAAAACAGCGAAAATGGGGGCTTCCAATAACCCAAACGCTGATAGATTCGCGGCCTTACAAGAAAAGAAAAAACAATTAGAGGAAACCTTAGAGAAACGAATAAAAGAACTTCAACAATTATGTAAACAAGTAAGTACACTGAGATATACTAGTGATGTTTAGTCTATATTAATTGCATTTTAGGAAACCGAATTGACAGGCAGTATACCACCTGAAACTCCCATAGACGCAGGTGAAAATCTGCCATTTAGAAGACGTGTTGGCACAGCCTATCAACTATCGGAAAGTTTAGTTAAAAACCCTGATCACAATGAGTTGGAATTGCAAATACAAATACACATGCAATTGGCCGAAGCTGCAGCGGATTTGGCCAATGAAAATAAGTCTAAGGTAGGTCTAAGAGTTATTTATGTACATAAAAAGTTTTTTCTTATTTGCTAGGATTGTAATCCTGATTTTTTTGCAATATTAATCACTCACCTTGTACTATGCTCCACATCAAGAATTGAGGTTATGTTTAACGCAAATTTCGTTTCATTTTTGTGTACCTATAAAGGTCTTACTTTAGAACACTAAAAATACACATTTTTTATTATTTTTAGAAAGTAAGACGACAATAGCATTAAACTGGCAGATACATAACCTCAATTATATGACAGCATTCATTATTCAAATGTCAAAGTGGGACTTTTTGATTTGGACTTTGACATTTGAATAAGAAATGTATTCAAATAATTAAGGTTATGTTTAACGCAAATTTCGGTCTGTTTTTAGAAAATAATACAATATATATTTTTATCTCCACGCGGTCTATAATTTAAACTTTATTGTTCGATAAAGAAATACCTTGTTATGGCCTAGGCCGATAAAAATTTTTATGAGGCAAGTAATTAGTTCGATTTTTTCTCGCTAGGGGTATTGTTTTGGCAAATTAATCCTTTTCTAAGAAATTAACGTACTAAACTGGTTTAATTAATTTATTACAAGCACTATTTGTTTGTTTTACTGTTAATGTTTAATATTTTTCATTAAATTATTGTAAAATTAAACATGGCAGGTGAGAGTCTAAAATATTCTAGAAATATTAAATTCCTTGGGCTAATAATTGACGAATTACTGTCATGGCGAGACCATATTAATAAGTTAAGAAGCAAAATTGCTGGACCCATAGGTATTCTATATAAATTAAATAATAATGTCCCAAAACAATATCTAAGATCAATATATTATTCATTAATACACTCTCACCTGCAATATCTAACGATGGTATGGTATACGGCTAGTGCTGTCACCATAAGGCCCCTAAAAACTCTTCAAAACAAGTCAATAAAGAACCTGTATTGTTTACCCTCAAGATATCATTCAGAAGATCTTTATACCAACTTTAGAATAATGTCCATTGATAATATTTATAAATATCAGGTGTGTAGCTTTGTTCATGGTTCTAAACTTGAGAAGAAACACACGAATATTAATTTTAAAGCCAGAAATGAAATACATCTACACAACACAAGAAATAATAATAATTTAGCAGTTCCACACGTCTTTTCAAAGTATGGTAAAGCATGCTTATTATATAGAGGTGTTAATATATATAACAGCTTACCAGAAGATATAAAAACAAAATCGACAAGACATATAAAAGAGTATTTCAATCCTTGATAAGAGGCTAACCTGCGTGTCTTCTTCTTGAGTATTGAATTTGAAAAAAAAAAAGTTCAGTAAATATGTAAATTAGGTAATGTATAAAGTATGTTTGTATATTGTATATTTGTAAGACTATAATTATCTTATAAGATAATGTTTTATCACTGTGATAGATATACTTATTGTAATTATTATATGTTTAGAGTTTGTCCCTCTATAAACAATCTATGTTTCTTGGGATCAATAAAGTATTTATTATTATTATTATAAACTATTACTGCTTCTAAAAGCAATAATAATTATTGTACATTTAATGTAATCTTTAGCTAATAAATAAATGAGATTCTAAAAAAGTGAGGTTAGGCCGCTTTGATGTTGAATTAAATTGACCTATATAAATTGCTTTGAAGATAAAATGTTGTATGCCATTCGGCCAAGAAGTGCCTTTTTGTGCTTCGCTCAATTGTAGGCCTCCGCTACGCGTCGGCCTTCAAACCTTGAGATTAGCACAAAAAGCCTTACTTCTTAACCTAATGACATAAATAACTATTTTGTATATGAAGGTCTTAATTTAGAATACATATTTTGTATTATATTCAGAAAATAAGACGAAATTATCGTTAAACTGACAGATAGATAACTTCAATTATTTCTGTAGTATGTGTAGCATAGTAAAATAACGGACTGCATTGTTTTTCAAATTGTTAGGTTTAATAAGTGATACATCCACGTGTAATCTGGGTTGCCTACATTCGCGATATACCGCTGAAAATAATCTCATTTAAAACAGTGGATTTTTTCACACAAATTATGACCTTAAAACTGTTTGCAGACTCTAAGAAGACATCACCTTGCCGAGTACCAAAAACACAAGCAGACATGCATGATATTGAGGGAGAAATTGACAAATTTAAAGGACAAAGCTGCCGACCAAGTGAAGCAAAAGAAAAAACATAGATCCTCGGAATCGGATGACAACGTTTCAGTGAATACGATGGCGACAAGTGAACCTTTTGTTAAGAGCAATATGAGGCAAAGCCTGAGATCTCTGAAGCAACCAATGCAACAAAATGAGAACAATGTTGAGCTGAGGTATTCGATGCCTGGCTCCTACCACTTTTACAGGGGCTCCGAGATTCCCTACTTGCAAAGACACGACGATGGTTTAACGTCGGGCTTCTATGCTCTCAGCCTTAATGGTTACAAAAGCTACATGGAGCGGCGAGAGAACATAAATTACAATACTCAAAGTGCGGTTCATTTGCCGCAGTACGCTACCTACCAACAGCACGGCTCTCAAATGCAAAACAACTACACTTTTCATCAAAGATCTCCCCCGCAAAATTATCACCACCCCAATGTACATTACCCCGAGCATAGATACAGCAATATCTCCAACCCCCCACATCAGTACCGACAATCTAGTTCAAACGTTAGCAATTTTTTAAGTTACAAGCCAAACCAGCAGTACTACCCCTCGCAGTCTTTCTCGCACTCTAACATAAGACAGTACCAAACGTTACCTGACCCCAACACATACAGAAACCCCCATCAAATTCAACCCCACCAACAGTACGAACATAATGTCGTCGGGGCCGGCTTGGGGGGCTGTTGGAGGAGCATGGAGAACGGGGAGATGGTGTGGTGCAACTCCAGCGCCGCGGAATCCAATTGGGAGCGCGATAAGGGGTTCGTCTTGTAAATTTTTCCACGAGTTGCGCGTGCTCATCAATTATTTTTTTTTAGTTTTGGTAGCTTGGATCGGAGAAAAAATAAAAGGGTTTCGAAGCGGATATCTCCGACGGTCGATAATAAAAGCGCCACTATAGCAAGTCCTTCTTACACGGATCACGTTAGAACGGCTTCAGTTAAATCACATGTGAGTTTAAGAGCAATAAAAATTGTTTGTATAATTAACTAAAATATTAATTTACAGATTATAACTAGAAGACAAGAAAATAGACAACTCATTAGAACACAGTCACTGGGTAGTGTTGGCGCCCAAACTGTAGTGGACAGTGTTTGCCCGAGTGACGATAATTCATCAATAAACAGTGATACTCATAGCATTAACGAAATAAACCTTAACTCGCGAAAACCGAAAGAAAAAGAATGGTAATAACATACAAACAATTTTAAAAATAAAGTCATTATTATAATTTTTTAGGTTGGAGACTTCCCTGGACGGTCCCGTTTCCCCCACTCACTCCATAGTATCCCACACGCAATCGACGACGTCGACGATTTCGAACTCCGGCATGCGCATGAGCAGCCACTCGCCGCACAGCATGCATCTACCCCCGCCCCCGCATTACAACGTACCACCTCCCCCTCCGCCGCCGCACTACAACATGCCGCCTCCCGCCCCGTCGCCCTCGATGCCGCCCCCGCTGATTTTGTCGCCCGACGAAAAGTACATGCAACCGCCTCCGTTAACTCCGAAACCTTCCTTGGAGATACCGGCGGAATCGAATAGATCGCCCAGAGTGCCCGACGGCAATATCGAAATGTTCAACAACAATATACCCGAGAATTGCACGGTGGTGCAGGCCGGATACGAGGAAACAAAACCCTTCGAAATGTCGGATTTCTACAAATACTCGACCAAGTACAAAAAATCGCCTGCTAAAGAGCCAGAGGTCCGGCAAAGAGAGGGGGAGGGGAACGCGCAGAAGTGCCTGAATCAGCAGTTTGACGAGCATAACAACTATCAACCTGAGTTGCCTGCTAAACCGCTTCATTACAGAAATAGGTACTAAAATTAAAACAATAGGTCTACTTTATCAAGCAGTTCTCGTTAGTTCTCGAACTATACGCATGCGCATAGAGAGCGACTGAAAAAAAATCGGTCCGCTTTTTTTGTTTTTTTCCAATTCTTTTTTTTTCATATTTTAGGTTTTTTTTTTCAATATTAGTCCCATTTTCCTAATTTTTTATGTTTCCAGTCCAGTTCGTGGGCTAAAATTAGCCACTAAATGACGTTTAGTAAATGTAAATACAGTATCGCGCTTCGCGATTTGGTCCTAAAATTAGTAACTACCTATAATATTTTTGATTCAGCGCTTGATTTTTCAAAAAACTACCAAAAGCACTTTTTTCATGATTTTTCAAATTCATGTAGAGTATGGAATTTTTTTTTTCAAAAAAAAAATAGCAAATAAGTCAGAACATTCCGTGGACCAAAAATGAAAGCCAAAAAAAATTCGAATTTTTTTATTACGGTATTCGTTATGATTAAGCATTGCACGTTTTTCATCTAAAATTCTTAAAACTAGAAACTTCAAGCTTCAAATTGCTTTTTTTACGGCTCCAGTACGACCATTTTTAACGAAGATACAGCCACAATCCACACAACAAGGTCTGTTCTATCTCGTACTAAAAAAACAAAAAATCACTGCAACACTGCACAGTTTAACGGCGGCCATTTTTTTTGTTTACAATTTTTGTGCTTTGGGTTTGTGCTCTGTTTATACAGATTAATAATCGTTTTAAACGTTGTGTTTCTCATAGTAAGCCTTAAAAGAGTCCTTAAAGTGCTAAGAACAACCATTTTACTCCTCTATTGTAAAAAATAAACTTTATTCTATCAGGGCAGTCATAAAACTGTCAAATGTCAATTTTAGGGTTAAATTATAACCCACAAATTAACCTTCAAATTGTCATTTGACAGCCCTGATATAATAAGGCAATAAGGTAAGAAACAACGTTTAAAACAATTATTAAACAGCACAAACCCAACGCACAAGAATTGTAAACAACAAAAATGGCCGCCGTTAAACTTTGTGCAGTGTTGCAGTGATTTTTAGTATATTTAGCATGAGATAGAACAGACCTTGTTGTGTGGATTGTGGATACAGCTATCCAAAAAATCGCACAAAATTTGGATTTTTTTTATCCTTTAATTTTTTCTATTAGTGTAGAAGTTTTACATTGCTATTGGTTTCTTATGTGGAAACTACCAAATAATAAAGAAATCAGATTTTTTAGTCTCGGTCAAAATCAGGGTGGAAATGGTCAAAATTTTCAATAATGAAAAATTTAATATATTCTACATTTCACTTTATTATTAATACACCTTTTACTCAAAATTTCATTTTTTCTAGTTTTTTTTTCACATCTGAAAAAAAACCTTTTTTTACATCTCTACATGCGCAGTAACAAAAATTCGTTTTAGTTTATTGCAGGTTTTTTTTTTGGTGCGCATGCTTAATAAAACAATTTTCTTAACTTCTGTGTAAAATGTTTTATTTAGCAGTTCTCGGAATAAACGCATGCGCAATAACAAAAATCCGTTTCTGTTTAAAATGTATCACAAGCAGCTTTTTTAAACGCTTCACATGAAAGTTATAACACTTTTGTTTTAGTAACATCAGTATGGACAGTCCTGATACTTCGAATAGTAACATAAACAACAGTTTGAACCTAAGTCAAATATCAGCCGTAGCTGATAATTTTTCGGCAGAAATGAATGCGTGGTATAAAGAGCATCAAATTGACAACAACAATACAAATGGATCGAATTCGAAGAGTAGATCCACTGCAACACTAGTTTAAGAAAGTACTATGCAATAAATTATTTTTTTAATATATATCTGTATATATTTTGTTTATTATTAAATATACCTAATGGTGTAATTATAGGTAGAGACTTTATCCAAAAAAATTATTAGTTTGGTTGAATAGACAGATACTTTACTTTTGAAATCAATTAAAATATTTGTTACTTCCTTAATTTTTTTGCCTTACGTTATCTCATTACATTATATTTATTTTAATTTTTTATTTAATTAAGTGGTTTAGTTTAATGTTTTATAAAAAATCATATTAGTTCTTTTTAAATCACCATTTGATCTCAAACCTTCAATAGAATTTAAGGGTTATGATTATGTAAAAATATATTTATTTGTATAAGCACCAAGTGCCTGATAATAGTTGAAAAAATATTGGTCGTGATCGAACAAATATTTTGGGTTTTATACAGTAAACCAAAGGAATGTGCCTTTTATAGGTTTTGTATAAATGCATATTTTTATAAAAGTCAATAAAGTTTTATTTAACGATTTTACGCGTTTTTATACTTTTTCCTTTGTAATAATTATTTACTATAGTGTTTTAACGACTTGATCGAAAACTGGTTAAAAAACGATTTTTTTCAGAAGAGAATTTCTATATTATCATATTTGTTGTTTAAAATATATTATTCAGATTTTTAAACAGTAAGTAAAAATGTCTATAGATAATATATCATAAAACAGCCCCTTTGTTTTAAAGAAGAAAAAATATATACCTATAGCATAAAATGCATAATTGGCATAATATTTTTCCTACATTACAAGCCATTCACCTGAAACTATTTTTACTGACACAAATAATTTTTAAAACATGCTGATCCTATAAGAATCTGTCAAATAAAAATAAAACTTGAATAAAATCAAATTAGGATCTGCACAATACATATTTTTAATTTTAATGCGATAAAAATTATCTTCCAACAATATAAAGATTAAAAATAGATTTTTTTTGGGAGAAATTCTATTTTTAAAACACGCTTGTTTTTACAAATTCAATAAGTCGATTCACTTAAATTTAAAACAAAATAAAAAATGCTTATTTTTGAGGATTACCTACATATGTATACAAAAGGAAAACGAAAAACAATATTTTCACCCACGTGATGGGCACGTGTTGTTTTATAAGGTAATATTTTTTTTGTTGCAACATTTTTTATAAAAAAAAAACATGAAATAAACGCGGATTTTAAATTTGATCCAATTAAATTAATTTATGTGTGAAAATATTTGGCGTTAAACTTTTTATTTTTATTCAGTAAATGTTAAAATATTGCATAATTTTGCATTAAACGTGCAAAACACCTATGACCTATACATGTTATTGAAAACGATGTTCCTACTTTGTTGCAGTTAATGCGATAAATTGTAAATAATTAGTTTAACAGTTGGTTTAACTAAATACCATTTAATTTAAAAAAATGCATTAATTACATTGCTGCGTGAATATTTCGGTTAATTTGTAAATTATGTAATTTAACCGTTATCGGTTGTGTTAATTAAATGTGCGCGAACATTCGAAAATGCAGAGGTCGCCACGCGTTTCCTGCTACGTCACATGAGGTGCCTAGCGGGGGAATGAAAAGACCGACTCACTCATTTCTCTTCCTTTTTAACTGGCTCTTCGCCTGGTGCGGTTGCCGTTAGTTTTTCGATAACTAGTGTTCCTTATAATTTAAGTATCTTTGTTAACAGTTGCATTTATTCTTATTCCAAAAAGTAAGTACACCATTTATTTATTATTATTTTGATTGCATTAAGCGTAATTCAAGATTAATCTCGGATAAATCGTCTTCACCACGTGTACAGTGCTTTTCGCTAATGGCGGCCATATGCTAAATTCGTTGTTCGTGCATGATTAACGTTGAATTACGCTGAATCCGTTTGTTTTGAGCAGGAAAATTAGCGCGGGTTGTTATTTTTATTGTTTTAATTGTTATTCGGTTATTTTGACGGGGGTAGTTGTTGATATTGGACGGTAATAAAATTTCGCGATAGTACAGTCCATGCCATCAATCCACCACCTGTTGTTTCGGCTTAGTTTTTATTGTTTTAATCGCGTAATTTGCATTTCCAATTGGATTTTCGTGTTGATTTCGCACGTGACTGCATTTGATTGTTGTTTTGTGTGCAGGTAAATCAAAATGGGTAAAGAAAAGGTTCACATTAACATCGTCGTCATTGGACACGTAGATTCAGGTAAATCCACCACCACTGGACACTTGATCTACAAATGCGGTGGTATCGACAAACGTACCATCGAGAAATTCGAAAAGGAAGCCCAGGAAATGGGAAAAGGTTCCTTCAAATACGCGTGGGTACTCGACAAACTTAAGGCTGAACGTGAACGTGGTATCACGATCGATATTGCTTTGTGGAAATTCGAAACCGCCAAATACTATGTCACCATCATCGATGCCCCTGGACACAGAGATTTCATCAAGAACATGATCACCGGTACCTCGCAAGCCGATTGTGCCGTACTCATTGTCGCCGCCGGTACTGGTGAATTCGAAGCCGGTATCTCCAAGAACGGACAAACCCGTGAACACGCTCTCCTCGCTTTCACCCTTGGAGTCAAGCAACTCATCGTTGGTGTCAACAAAATGGACTCCACCGAACCACCCTACAGCGAAAGCCGTTTCGAGGAAATCAAGAAGGAAGTCTCCTCCTACATCAAAAAAATTGGTTACAACCCGGCCGCTGTCGCCTTCGTACCCATCTCCGGATGGCACGGAGACAACATGTTGGAGCAATCCGCCAAGATGCCGTGGTTCAAGGGATGGGCCGTCGAGCGCAAAGAAGGCAAGGCTAACGGCACATGCTTGATCGAAGCTTTGGATGCCATCCTGCCACCATCCAGGCCCACCGAAAAGCCCCTCCGTCTTCCACTCCAGGTAACATAATGTTTGGCGTTGTTGTAAGTGTAATATCTAACGTATTCTTTTGTCGCAGGATGTCTACAAAATTGGTGGTATCGGAACAGTACCAGTCGGTCGTGTGGAAACCGGTGTGTTGAAACCCGGTACCGTAGTCGTGTTCGCGCCAGCTAACATCACCACTGAAGTAAAATCCGTGGAGATGCACCACGAAGCCCTGCTGGAAGCCGTGCCCGGAGACAACGTCGGTTTCAACGTAAAGAACGTGTCAGTTAAAGAATTGCGTCGTGGCTACGTGGCCGGAGACACCAAGAACAACCCTCCCAAGGGAGCCGCCGACTTCACCGCCCAAGTGATCGTGCTGAACCACCCTGGTCAAATCTCGAACGGATACACGCCAGTGTTGGATTGCCACACCGCTCACATCGCGTGCAAGTTCGCGGAAATCAAGGAGAAGGTCGACCGTCGTTCGGGAAAGACCACCGAGGAGAATCCCAAAGCCATCAAGTCCGGCGACGCCGCCATCGTCAACTTGGTGCCCTCCAAACCCATGTGCGTGGAATCCTTCCAGGAATACCCTCCTCTTGGACGTTTCGCCGTACGTGACATGAGGCAAACAGTCGCTGTAGGAGTCATCAAGAGCGTCAGCTTCAAAGACCCCAGCGCCGGAAAAGTCACAAAAGCCGCCGAAAAGGCATCCAAGAAGAAGTAGTTTTGTTATAACTTATGAAAACCTCCGTTCATAACTTTTATACAATATATTATGTTTTAATTTTCCAATAAAACTACTGGAGTTCTAATACTGAATTTTATTTTTTGACAAATTTGATCTGTGAACTCTATTTCAACAACAATAAAAAAATTAAAAACAGACTTATCTTCTCTTTTACTTCAAAATCACACCTCAACTAACTAAATAAATATAACCGACTACAAACCAAGGGTTCGTTATTGTATTTTAGTCCTTCGAAGGGGACTTTAAGCCCGCGGTCTGTTCCTACCCCGAACCCGCACAAGCCATTAACTGGGACTTCTTAGGAAGTAAGAGTGAAACTAAAAGAAAAAGTTGAAATTTCAATTAGAATAAAATCATTAAGAAAAACGTTTAAATTTAAGATACTGCTGCAATAATTTTGTAAAATTGCAATATTAAAATCTCAATTCATAAAATACTATTTGCCAAAACAATAACAAATGCACTGTAAAAATAAAATGATGTGATTTAATCTAGTTTAAAATTAAATAATATTTTGAAGGATTTTTGTTGGTAACAAATTAAAGTTATTTAAGAATATTGTACATTATTTAAATCGCAATTTATTAGGTATTATAACTTTGTTGATGCATTTTTGGCTTATTTTTTTAAGAACAATTTTACTGCAATTCATATATTTAGACGTCACCTAAGTAATATTTTTAATAACAGTATTTTTTGATTTTACGGCAAAACTCAAGTAATTTAATTTCTTACACAAAAGGTCCTATGCATTGATGCAATAAAATTATACTGTAAAATATTGATAAATGAATTAGTCCTATGTTGTTTTACGGCAAAACGGTTAAAATTACAGGTAAATTGTAAAAACAACTTTTATATAAAATTCAATTTCTTACAAAAAATGTCTTATGCATTAATGCAATGAAATGCATTGTTTAAAAGATAAAGAGCATTTAAAAAATTGTACTGTCAAATATTGATAAATTAATTAGTCCTATGCATGTTGATTTACTGCAAAACGGTTAATGGTACAGGTAAAAAGTAAATATAAATTTTATGGAACATTCAATTTCTTACAAAAAAGGTTTTATGTATTGATGCAATAAAATGCATTGTTTAAAAGATATAGAGCGTTTAATAAATTGTACTGTAAAATATTGATTAATTATACCTATGTTGATTTACGGCAAAACGGTTAATGGTACAGGTAAAAAGTAAATACAAATTTTATAGAAAATTTAATTTATTACAAAAAAGGTCTTTTGAAATAATGCAATAAAATGCATAGTTTAAAAGATATAGATCATTTAATAAATTGTACTATCAAATATTGATAAATTAATTAGTTCTATGTTGATTTACGGCAAAACGGTTAATGGTACAGGTAAAAAGTAAATATAAATTTTATACAAAATTCAATTTATTACAAAAAAGGTATTATGTATTGCTGCAATAAAATGCATTGTTTAAAAGATATAGAGCATTTAATAAATTGTACTGTCAAATATTGATAAATAAATTAGTTGTTTTACGGCAAAACGGTTGAAGTTACAGCAGGGCCGGATTAAGACAATTTGTTGCCCTAAAATGGGGCGGGGTCGGTTGGGTTGTGTTGTTGAGTTTGGGTTGGTTTGGGTTTTTTTCTCTAATTTTTGACCATTTGACCAATGGGGCGGGGGGGGGCAATGGGGCGGGGTCGGTAGGGTTGTGTTGTTGAGTTTTCTAACAAGGAAGCGTTAAAATTTTGCCTATGATTCATTTTAAAAACGTTAAAATGCACAAAACAAATCCGGTTAAGCCAGCAAAACGAAAAACAATGCCGTAACCTCATTTTTTTAATAAATTAGAGAATTGGTTGGTTAGTATACAAACTAGCTAAAGCTTGGCTATTTTGTG